TGTGCTATGTAGATCTCAAATTAGGTAGTATTTAATATAGTCCTATTTCTTAACTTCTTTACTCTATCCTTACTCCCGAGACCTGATTCTTGATTCTGCTTGGCTAGGGTATATCGACCGAAGGGCCGAGAGGCCAGGGACCGAGGGGTCGAGAGGCCAGGGACCGAGAGTCCGAGCGGCCAGGGACCTAAGGGCCGAGAGTCCAAGCGGCCAGGGACCTAAGGGCCGAGAGTCCATCGACCTAAGGACCAAGGTCTATCGGCTAAAGGGCAAGGTTCATTGTTGGAGGACCAAGGTCGACCTTCGGGGACCGAAGGGCCGAGAGTCCATCGACCTAAGGGCCAAGGTCTGTCTGCTAAGGGCCGAGGACTATTGATGAAGGACCAAGTCTTCCTTCAGAGGCCGAGGGGCCAAGCATCCATCGACCCAAGGACCGAGGTCCATTGATGAACGAGATCATTTGCGGTGGCGGATGGACTACCGCCAGAGCCGCTACGCTCTCATGATGGCGGAGTTGGAGCAAGAGGATTGCAGCACAAATCCATTCAAGGATCCTCCGTGACTGCTCCCACAGTGCCCCCCAGACCGGTGACGGGTAAGCGACCTCGGCGCTCATCGGCCAAGACGACCGCTAAGGTCCCCAAGTCTGTCAAGTTAAGTACCCCCAGCACTCCCGCTTCGTCCGCGCTCAAGTCGTGGATCCCCCGGGACCTACCTTCGGTACCCTCTCCTGATCCGGATGATGACACTGCAAGCGACGGCAGCGAGGTGGTCCGGGCGACCTTGGCTTGGTCGCGGTCTTCCCGGCGTCGCACCACGCCTATCGACCCGCCGCTTCTAGCTGTCTCGGCCAACTATGCTCCCCGACCGGTCACTCTTCCGGGTCCAGAGTTATTCCGAGCCATGTTCGGATCTTGTGAATCCGAGATCGAGTCGGTTACGGGAGAGAAGGCCCCCGCCTCAGTCGCTAAGGCGGGGTCCGCCCCAGGGGAGTCACCTACACTTCCGAAAGGTGACTTCATCCATGGGTATATGCAGGTGAAATCATTCACTGCAGCGAAGGTGGCGCCTTGGTCGGTCGACCTGGTCAACTCGTTGAGTGTCGTGGCGATGACCCCTAGCGACTTAGTCGACCGCCTGGAGTTGCCTTGGGGCTGGTTTGGTCCACTATACGGGAAGGTCGATCGACCTTCCAAGTGAAAACCATCGTTGGTCAGCTCTTCGATGCTCCAGAGCCTCTTGGTCGCCCGACCATGGCTGTCAGCTCGAGTCTCGACCCCCGTATCTTTCCATCCAGTGGGATGGCTCGCGGAGTTGGAGGCGATCTACCTGCGTTTTGACGAAGATCACAGCCAAGCGATTTGGGAGGCTACCCACTGCTTATGGATCTCCAAAGATCAAGCGCGCGCTAGCCCCTTCCTCTAGTCGTACTAAAATGCACGGAAGAAACGTCGTGGTCGTGTGATTCGGGCGTGGCGAGGAGTCGTCGACACAATTTTCAAAGGGATGAGCGACGGTCGTGCGATATCGATATCCTGCTCGACCCCTTCTTCCGGCACCTTCCTCGACCTCGCTGCGTGGTATACTGGTTTTCAGGTTATGAGGAAGGGTTGGATCCCGCCAACTTGGTGGAGGCCATAAAGATCTCCGAGTCCACCTACCCTTGGATCACCCCCAGTATCGACTTTCGTCTGAGCCCCATCCTGGGTACTCGGTACCGCGTCTCCGGAACAAGTTCGTCTCCCACCCCGTAGGCGTTTCCATTTGAATATACTTGCGTTCATATTCCTCCCAGTCTTTGTCTTGTATCTCTGCTTCCCTACTACCTTCGAATCTTATGCCACTTTGCTTTCTTCACCACACTAGAGACCAGGGTCCACCTAAAAAGAACAAGGTCTATCGATGATCTACCAGGGTCGACCTCAGAAGGTGAGACCAAGGTCTACCCATGATAGACCAGGTTCGACCTCAAAATACCGAGGTCTACCTCGAAAGACCAAAGTCTACCTCGAAAGATCAAGGTCTACCAATGATGGACCAGAGTCAGCCTTGAAAGACCAAGGGGGGGGGGGGGGGGGGGAGGGGGGGGAAAAAAAAGGGGGGGGAGAAAGACGAGGAAGGAGGGCGCCGAAAAGGGAGGAAAGGGGGGGGGGGGTTAAAAAGGAAGGGTTGGAGGAGAGGAAACCCGAAAGAGGTACAACTCAGCAGGTCGAGGTCTACTCCCCATCGACTCTGGTCGCTACAAAGACCTAGGTTTCTTCCACTAGTCCTCACGACTTTGCATCGCTTCGAATCGGTTCCTCCTTGTCTCTTTACGTACAAAATCACAAAGTAAGGCTCCACAATTCCAATCCAATTCATCCACCCACGAGGGGTCTGCATACCCTTTCCATCGGACGAGGAGCTCTCGTTGCTGTCTCCCAGAGCGCGTCTTCTTTGCAGTGCGGGCTTCCAAAATTCCCTCGACCTCGTACTCTCTATCCTCCAGCTCTCTTGCCTAACTGTCCTCTGGCAACAGATTTATAGAAGCCGACCCGATATGCTTCGTCCATCTCTAACATGGCACTCGGTCGGTCGGGAGCTCTCTCCCGCTTGAGCTTAGAAAGATGTACAATTGGGAATAACCTGTACTCCGTGCCTCGAGTTTCCAAACGTGCTGCGTGCTCTCCACCAGCTCTAGAACTCGAAATGGTCCATACCAGAGGTGGGCCAATTTCTCGGCGTACCGCTCTTTCACCCGGTCCAGGCAGAGCCACACTTGAGTTCCCAGCTAAATCTTGTGGTCGACCACCCCTTCGTTATGGGCTAGGATTCGAGCTTGACTGACCGCTCGTAAAGTCTCATTCACCTGGGCTCTCACCCGCTGATGGTGTTGCTGAATGTGACATCTTCATCTGCGTGGCCCAGATTCCCGACGTCGCGTATTTTTTTTACCATAGGTAAGGTAGCCTCGAGGGTGATTGTAGCATTACAACCATGGACCAGATAGACGGCGTCTCATTCGGACTCGGTCTTGCGCGGTGTTCATCGCAAAAGTTAGTCGTTCTGCATACTCCTCCCAATCCTGCTGTCCGACATCAGAGACATACATCTTGATGGACCTAGTCAGGGTCTGAACCATCCTCTCCGCGGTACCATTCGCCTGAAGTCGATATGCCATGGTAGCCTGTTGACGCTGGCCCACCATGCGACTCAACGCCCGAAAGAAATCCAATATAAACCCTAACTTTCGATCGTGACGAATTCCCTCGCTAGCACCAAAACGGCGAAAAACGCATTCTTCGTACCCTTCAGCTATCGTCTGGGCCGTTCGCGACGCACTAGACTTGGCCATCACATACCCCGTGAGAAAGTCGACCCAAATCAGTAGCTCGGTATTTTCTCTGTGCGACCCGGGTAGAGAGGAAATATGATCCATTGCTATAATCTGGACGGAATATGTTGCTTCGGCATTTGCTGGAGTCTTTCCCTGCAGGGTAGGTCCTCCTTTCCCAGTCTCGCAATCCACACATGTCCCCACACATCCTCTGTAAGTTTCGGAATAAACCTCTTCAATGGCAGTACCACCAGATTCGGTGATAGGTACGTCCAACGCCTTGGTGACCTCCTTCCAGACTGGTGTGGTAGTGATGCAGGACGCCAGCTTGAATACTTTCGGTTATCACTATTCTGGGCGTTACTTTTCAGTCGTATCCCTCGACCCTCTGAACGGGACAATACAATAGTAGCCCCTCCTCACTTATCTCGTAGTCCCTGGCCATCTTACTGCACGATCGGGCGGACTACATGGACAGGTCGACCCAATTACCCTTCAAGCAGGCCTTCAAATCTCGCACATAGTCTTCTTGCTCTTGTGCCTCCCTGATTTAATCTGTACGGAGTCGTTGTATCAAACCCTCTTTCAGCATTTCCCCTGACATCTTGATGAGGGCCTTGATCGGGCCACTGCAAATACGTAGATCGATGGACTTCAGTCTTCGGGGACTTGCGGGGACTTGAACGCTTCTAAACCGGGCCACCATCCTTTCGTATCGACTCGATCCCCTTCTGCTGGTGTAAAGGTGTGGTTGCAAGCTGGCCTGCGCTCTGATTTCATCACGCTTTACATGCAGGACTCCTTGAAAGGGCCAAGACTGAAGCTTATTCAAAGCTTTCGCTCGTAACGGGAATAGCCCTGAAGCCCAACCATCGATCTCCCCACTCATCTCGCGTACCACCAATTATGAGTCTCCACAGATAATCAATCGCCGTCGTACAGGGGTTCCAACAAGTCAAATTTATAACATGCCCTCATATTCGGTCTCATTCACCGTAGACGCAGCAAGATACTTCGAGGCAGCCTTGACTATAATCCAGGTAGAAAGTCACCATACAATAGCATTAAAGGCCCGGGGTCATCCGATGAGAGACCAAGGTCCACCTTGAGAGGCCGAGGTCTTCCTTAAGAGACGGGATCTATCTTGACCGACCGGGGTCTACCTTGACTGACCGGGGTCTACCTTGACCGATGGGGGTCTACCGATGAGGGCGAAGGTCTACCGATGAGGGCGGAGGTCTACCGATGAGGACGGAAGTCTACCGATGAGGAAGTCTTGTGACAGCGTCGATTCATTTGATCTTGAACTGCTTCAAACGCACGCGGACAAATTGCATCCATTAGATAATCCACCACCTTCTTAGACTCCTTTTGTCCAATATCTTCCATATCAAGCTTATCAAGAACTCTATAAATTTCAGCCATCAAACGAGAAATCCTTGACTCCGCATCTTGCAGACCTGTATTCACACGAAGCTCTTTCTCCGCGGTCTCCTACTTATATTATATATACTAAGCAGTTATTCAGACTCGTGCGTTGGGCCAAAGCCCAGTCATGAGGAGTCGATTATTTCTTGCGCACTTAAATGCAAACGTCTTGTGTATTGGTACCTTTGTATCATAATATTTGTAACAATACTTGATTTCCAGTGAGTCACATTTTTCAAATATTGTAAGGCTCACAATGGTCCTTCGTGTCTTTAGCCGCCGTGCTGTGCATCTCACTTCTACAGCAGCTTGGTCGCTGGCTCCTGCTACTGCTGCGTGGTCTCCCACATTTCGTTGCGTTGATTTTAGAATGTCAACGGTTCAGCGCCAAACACGATCGTTCGCCAAAGCCAAAAAGAAAAAAGGAAGCAAGGACAGACCTAGCGCGTCTGCTGCTTTTGTGATTGACGATGACGCTGGCGCAAGCGAAGACGAGGATGGAGGCGCTGCGAAAGCATTAGAGAAGGCCAAGAAAAACATGAATGGCGCAGTAGTCAATTTTACGCGCGCACTGAGTCAAATGCGGCCCGGTCGTGCAGACGCCGGTATCTTCGACGACCTGCACGTCCAGGCGTACGGTCAGCACGTGCCACTCGCTCAAGTAGCGCAGGTGGCGGTAGTTGGTACATACGCACTAAGTGTATCTGTGTACGACCCGTCGGTAAGAGATTTCAAACTGCGAGGATGCGTTTGTGCTTATTGGGTTGTTTACATTCTGGCCATCTACAGCTCATGCAGGACGTGAAAAAAGCTATTGAGGGGACAAATCCAGTCTATTTGGTGCGTGAAGAAGCAGACTCTCTCGAAATTTCATTTCCCAAGTACGTGGCTGTAGGTTACTGGCTATTGAGCGGGAACTGACTGGTTGGGATGCAGGATGTCAAAAGAGACGCGGGCTGAGCTGCTCAAAGTCACGAAAAAGCAGGCGGAACAGGCTCGACAGCATGTGCGCCGTGTGCGACAGGATGCTATGAACCATGCTAAGAAACTGAAGGAAGCTGTCTCGGAAGACGCCGTGGAGGTTCAAAAGGAACTCATCCAGAAGGTGACCGACGATGTTACTGCGGAGATCGCTAAGCTGCTGGAAGCCAAAGAGAAGGATCTGAATACTGTATAAAACAGTGTCTGCAACACGGCGGGGATAGAAATACAAATGACAACAAAGCAGAATTTGCTTGCTGTCCGATACAAATGTGCAATCGTTTGCATAAGTCATGAGTTCATTTTTGCAGCAAGTCCTTCTGTTGTAGCTCTCACAAGATACTCCACCGATTACGCACACGGACAGCCATGTGACGAACAAGACGCTTGCGGTCGTCCAGCGCAAGCAAGAGGCTCCGGAGCACAGTGTCTTTGTATGGATGTACAAGCTCATAAGGGATCGCAGCCAACTCTGCAAGACACTCTAATGCTGCATATCTGTCCTTAGCACCAGACCTACTCTCCCGACAGAGCATCATACGCACATAGTGAACTCATAAGTCATTTTTCCAAGGACAAGACATTATCAGACGCAGAGAATAACGTACCCGAACCGCGCTTGCTTCAGCAGCCCTGGAAACACGTCCTTGAGGAACGGCTTGGCGCTCTCCACAGAATCTAGCAGCAGTGGCTTAAATGTCTGAATAGCGGCACTACCCAACTCCCTATTGTCCGTGTTGAGGGCATGCGCCATAAGCGGAAAGATCTGGGCTAGATGAGGAAGGTAAACAGCTTTGGGCGAATGTGCGATCACTTGCGCGAACGCGACAAGTGCAGCCACGCTAATTTCTTCCCCAACGTGAGTACTAATGTACACGAGCAGCAACGGAAACACTAGGTCAAACATTCTTTGCCTGTAAAGAAACTGCATACACAAGCAGATAAACAAGTAAGCCATTTAGCCAACACCTTTGACAACAGACCTCCTATCTTACCGTGATTATAGCGCCGCATTTACGGTTGAGCACGTCCGGGTATTCCAAAACTAGCAACTTAAACGTCTTGGCAACTTCTATACGCAAGGCAGAAGCTTCCAAATCATTGACTTTCTGTTCCATGTTAACATCTGCGTCATCATTTTGGCTCCCTGGCGTGAGAAAGTTGCATAGAAAGCGTAGACACATTGGTGCCTGAACCTTGTGGCCTCGAATAACTAATGCCTTCGCAATCCAGGCATAAATCTGCAGCGCAGACACCCGCACGGCAAACTTCTCGGCGGGATTACAGATCACAACCGCAAGCTTCTGTGAGAGCAGCAGGTCAATGAGAGCATCAAACTCAGCGCCGTCCGACATTTTGTTCACAATAGAAGCCAACGTTTTAGCCGCCGAGAGTGCAGCTTCAGTGTACACAACATGAAGCCGGTGAGGTGACGTCTCTGGGACTGTAGCAGCACCAGACTGCGCAAGCTCAAGTAACCTGTTAATAACCAACGACGTATCCGGCAGCGTCACGTCGCGAGAGGCTGAATTAATAACTGCAGCAAAAAGCGGCACGAGCTGCAGACTAGCAGGTTCTGAGGGATGCGTGCGCAAGAACGCTGGCACCACGGCGTCGATCAGCCGCTGTTGTGTGGTCGGAGACACATTTTGCATTACTGCGCGGAAGATTCGACCACAAGCTACAAGCTTCGCATCATCCACAAGACCAGACTGTTCACCACTTACAAAAGCACCTGCATGAGCTGCAGACGTCTTCACGGCTGTGAGCAGCCTAAAGATGACAGAATCCGTCGAAGATGGCTGGACACAAAACTCCATGCTAGTACGATCAGCAGCGTTAATCTCTACAATCTTGGCAACTGCATTTAAAAGATAGTTGACATGATGCTGGCGAGCAATGTCACCGGCTCTTTCACAAAATCGAGTGTCGCACTGTAAGCTATCACCCTTTTCCATGCACATATCGACGAGAAGAAAGATTGTAGCCTGAAAAATAGATGACTCGCGGCAAAGCTCGGTGATAGCCAACAATGCCTCCTCAAAAAACAAGTCAAAAGTGCGATTCGAAGCAGTCAAGACTGCGGAAACACCTGCGCCTTCTTCGTCATCATCGTCTTCGTGATCAGTTCCTTGATTAACTGCAGCCATAAGCCTTGCTAGCGAAATCTCTACCACAAACGAAGCGTAGCCACTAGTGCCACCCAATGCGCCAAGCGACGCCGTTGACATGGTGGAGATCTCCTTCAAGCTCTGTAAGCAGGCATCTCGCACCTCCTTTGCAGGGTCAAGAAGCAGCAGGCGGGTAAACAGGTTAATAAGTGCCTTAACTTGTGCGGGTGTCACGATCGGTGACGGCGGGAAGGTGAGTAGATGGCACAGCGCTTCCACTGCTATGCAGCGTGCAGTCGTACTGCTGCCAAGATCAACCCGAGCGTCTTGATCAATACTGAGGAAGTTAACTAGCGCGTCAATAAGCGCAGGTGCATAAGGGCGCATGGGCTGCGTTTGACCACTTTGATCGATCTCTCGGTCGATTGTGTTCACAAGAAGCAAAATTCGCGCCAGCGCAGATTCGCATTTTGAAGCAACTCGTTCACTTCCAGAAGACTCAGTATGGAGCTGCTCTACCAGCAGAGGCACCGCAACTTTAAGAACATGGGCAAAACTTATCGCTGACTCGTATCCTAGTGCCGCGAGCACTTGACCAGCCGACACGCTCACCATCGAGTCCGCAGCATGTTCACGCAGATCACTCACAGCACGCGCGGTCATGTCCACCACAAATTTACTCCATGCATAAGCCGCGCCTGGCGTATTCTGCGCTTTTGCGCGTGCAACAACTCCAGAAAACCGCGAAATCACCTGACGAGCTTCGGCAATAACCTCCTGCTTCTCACCGTCAAGAACTTCGTCATACAGCGCTGTCGCCACTTCGTGCGTCTGCAGTAGCAGCGCATTCATAGAATATCGTTCTCCACAAAAGACCAGTGTTTGCAGAGCATCCAACTTTGCCTCCACTACTGTAGATGCCAGTTTCTTTAGTAAGAACGGCAGCACCAGCGGAGCTAACAAATCGGAAGCCGCAAACACGTGACGCAGAGACACAACAAGTACTTCCGACGTAATTCCATATGGGTCGTTTGGTGGTGGCGTGAAGATAATGGGGAAGTAGCAAGACACAACATCGAAGTATTGCTGCAGCAGCACATCACTGCAAGTGAACACGGGCTCCAACTTGGACAACAACGTACGCGCCACCTGCATGCACAGCAGTAAGTTACGCGGATCCTTTTCTCCCTCCATGGCACTCAAAAATGTTTGTGCAAACAGTTTGCCGAGATCTTCACTCTGTTCTGTGTCGTTCATACTGATATTTTGAGCGTCTCTATCCGCCGGTACCGAGTCTAGCAGCAGCTCCACAACCGTTGCCTGCGCTAATGCAAGTTGCATGATTTCAAAGCACATTTTACGCATGGACTGAACCAGCTGTGGAATGTACAATGTGTTTCCTAGCTTCAAAACGAGCGCTACAGTCGTGTGGGGTGACGAGATTTGGGCTGCGTGGTGCGTCTCAAGCGCCAGTAGTGCGCGCAAACAGGCGGAGGCGCTGGAAAAATCGTCCAAGCGGTCGGTAAAAAAGATCATGAGCAGTTGTACAGCACTCGGTGCCAATTGCATCTCTGGTAGACGCGTGAGCACCTCGGACAAGAGCAGAATCGCTCGTGAGCGCACTTTATCGTCGTCGCTGGTAAGGTGGATACCTAGAGCCTGGATTAACTCTTCTATACTTACATGACGATGTACTTGCATAACAACATTATTAAGTCCCGTTTTCTGCGTCGCATTATTGTTTTCTGGATCTACAAACGCATTAATGGCTGGTGCTAAGGGTGCGTCTAAACTAAACATTTTAGACTGATCAATTAATGGTGATGTCCTGGTAATTAAAAAAGACGAGCTTTAATTTGATTTGTATAAGTTGACATATTTGCTATCAAGGCGACTATAAAATAGAGGATCCTAATTCGATCCGTCCTACTTGTGTCTGTAGCCATTTGTATGTATTAATGCCGCTGGATATTTATATCGGTACAATTTCCATTAATCAACGTTTATTCTTTGATTTGCACTGTAACACTCACGAGATTTCAACAATGGGCACGAGATCTAAGAAAGAGGTTGCGTTGTGGCGTATTGCCAAGAATTGTAACGCTGTGAAGCTCCAGCAATTTTTATTGAGCAACGAGTCGGACGACGACATTCAAGATCTGCTCGATTTGCCTCATCCTGTAAAAGGAACGACCCCATTGATGATCGCAGCAAGTAAGAAATATGGGGCAGATACTGTACGTGGTCTACTTGATTTGGGTGCCGACCTGCACGTTACCGACACCGGCAAGCACCAGAATACGGCACTTCACTACGCAGCTTACAACAACCGTGTCGTTCAGCTGGAGTTGCTGCTCGAGGCTGGAGCCGACGTCTTGGCCCTTAACGGCAAGGGTCACACAGCACTGGACGTGGCAAGACTTCGTGGACGAAAAGAGGCAGCTGCAGCACTGACTTCTCGTTTGGAGATGCACAGTGACTGGCTATATTTACGTTCCAAGTCGATGCTTGGGTTTTGGAGGCGGCGTTGGTGTGTGCTATTGGCGTGCAACTCGAAATGCACAGCCACTGAGCTCTGCATCTTCCGATCTCCCGACAAAGTACGTCCAGAAGCAGTGTTGTGGCAAGACAGTTTGACGACGAATTGCACGGCATTAGTAGGCGAAAAAAAAAACGGCTTCAAGTTGGATACACGCGTAGTCTACCAGAAACTGCGCTGTCGTCGCTATAGTCGATACAAATCCTCAGGACGAACGCACGCCCAGAAGGCAAACTTGCAGCCACGTGAGTATGTCTTTGCGTGCGATACTGGAAGCAGTCGAGATGCGTGGATGAGAGCACTGGAAAATCAACAGCGCGGAACAAATGCGACTGTGAGTTCCACACACACAAGCTCATCGCACAGATCGAGCGCTAGATCCCGTGCTGCTACTGTTGATTCCCCACCCTTACCAAGCGTTGGTTCGCCAGTTGAACTCTCTAGAAACTTTGACACATCGGCTCAAGCAGACGAGCCAGGATTATTGGTAACTTTTGGACCAGTGCAGCCCACGGCCCGCGCCTCAGCTCCAACGCTTGTTGAAGACGGAAATGATTTTGTCTGGCGTGACGTGCCAGCATCGCTATCCTCTCGTGACCAGGAAACACTCCTACAGACGACGGTGATCACTATCAGTAGCGACCCAAATGAACCAGAGCCACTAGTACGAGGCAGATGTATTGTTTGTGTCGAGAACCACCGTGACTCAGTCTGTATCCCGTGCGGACATGTTGCAGGTTGCTATGGCTGCATAAGGGCTGTCACGCAGGAGAGCTCTTCGTGTCCAGTTTGCCGCGCTCATGTCGACGGCGTGGTTAGGATCAGGGGTTAAGCAAGCAAGCACCACGTAAGCGATTATAAGATTACGATCTATGAAACGATAAATAGATCTGACTTTGTTGGGATATTCCCACTAACAATGAACTTCGTTCGTTGGTATTTTAACGTGTGGAAATCGCAGCAATGTTTAAGGATTGAGCAATGCTGAAAGGGTTCGTAGAGCGTTATGCTACAGTATTAATGTGCATTTGCATGATCTTGTGATAATCGAATTTTTGTGAGAAAAAAGCCTCGTCTGACGTACCTGAACACCATATGTGTGTGTCGCACAATGCGTTTAGTTTACGTACGCCAAATGTGAGATGTTGTGGACAACATCAAATTCAAGATCACAGTATTTGTACAGTACAACTTGTAATAAAAAAGACACAGTCGACAGTCGACAGTCTCAGGTCATCACGTCATTAAACTCGTTCTTACTGTATTATGGCCATGTTGATAGAATGCCCATCATACAGCTTCCGCAATCACAGTAATATCGTATAAAACTACCAGCAGCTACTTAATGAGGTTCATAGCATCACAAAAGTTTGATGTAAATAGTAAAAAACGTTCTGAATCAATGTCTCTCTCTCGTATAATATAGATCTGTTTAGTACAAGATCCCTGGTATGTCCGTAGCCGAGGTAAAAACGCCGGCGCTGAAAGGCGCAACGTTGTATCAGACACTCCTCATGGGGCTCCGTGGGACTCGTTCGGTGAGCACGTGAGGATCTCGATGCACGCTTGTCTGTGGCGCCCCGAGTGACAGTGTCAGCCTTGCGGTGGTCGTATCTACGACGGCTTCGTGTTGCCGGACTGCTTCGGTCCAGTAGGCCGCGCTGTTGTCCGTTTGCCGCGGAAGACATAATTAATGCGCTTGATCTAGAGTCTCGTGGTCGCGACCGTGCAGAGAGAGAATCGTCCAACATCGAGCCTAATCGGCAGCAAAGCCATCTGGTTTGCTGGTTGCCGTTGGGCTACAATCTGTCCGATACAGGACGAGCAGGGCGGCCTGGTTCGAGCTGCACATGCGCGTTTCCAGTACTGCAAGTGGCGAGGTTGCACCTAGCGCCTTCCCAGTAACTGATGAGCTGTGCCCAAATTGCTTGAGTGTAGTGAAAGCTCCAGAATAGATGCTTGTTCAGTTACCTTTCGCCGGCGCATCGTGTCCCGGCGGGGCACGGTTTCCCTGGGCCCGGCACGTGTCAAATGAGTTCAGCTGGTGCGTAGCATTCCGGTATGCAGACCAAATTTGATAATCGGTGAGGGCGACCGGGTCTGGGATTCCTTGACGGGAGGTCATGCTACGAGCTATTCACTGCCTCCTTGATTGCAAGAAGGTAAGAGATAGACATTAAAGCTTTGCCGAAGTCCTGTGCAATGAGCGCACGCCAGTGGTTGAGTTAGACCAACAGGAAGCCGTTCGGAATTGTCTGAGGTACGGTACAAGGAAGCTCGCGGATGCTAAGACGTACTTCGAAGACGAGCCGAGTATCCTTAAGATTGCGGCTGTAAATGGCACGGAGTTTGTCGGTCTCCACCTCCAGGGTAGGTATGTTCCCTCAAACTTTCATTCGATCCGAGCACTGGCCTGCGTCAGGCGGCAGGGAGCTGTCGTGGGGACGACCCAGGTCCTGCGCGCTCTCCCTTCAATCACACCTGGGGCGGTGACATGCCAAAGAAAAGCTTGCACAAACAGCTGAGGCTACCAAAGCGTGAGGTCAGTGGCTGCGTTTCAAGAGACGCTGCGGCATTCAGGAGTGGCGAGGCCAGAAGGAGCAATTGGTCAGCGGCGAAACGTGAGTTGTGAGTTGTGAGTGGCTAGTGGAGTGGTGAAGGAGGCGGAAACGTGAAGGCGTATTTCGTTCACCGTTTGCCTGATGTCAAAAGCCTTTAATGAGGCCATCGGCAACCTTGTTGTAATGACGCGGCTGCAGCTCAGCGAGACCTGGGCCCAAGTTCCACGGGTTGTCCGCCCACAAGAATGTGCTCTAGACCGGCTACAGGCACTCACTCACCACACATAACGCTGGCCCGCGGAGGGAAAGAATGCTGCAGAGTGAGTATTTACACGGGCCCTTCCTACCAGCTTACGGTGGCTGCTTCCAATTGTAAAAAATGCGAAATTACTCGGTGCCGAATCATACCGGTTTGTCGGAGGCGAGGCGCATGATATGTTCCCAACTCGTATCGATAGCGCAACATTCTTTCATGGGAAAAACCGTTGCCGGATCCTGGGGTGTGACGTTGATCTGGCCGCTCGATGCATGCCACTCGTCGTTTCCACCATTCACGCCGAGGTGTACTGACCCGCGTAACATGTAAGCCATTGCAAGGCGTGCTTTTTTCGTTGTGTTTTGGACGCGACCGGGATGAAGACTAACGTAGCATTTACTGCCGGACGTGGTGCAAAGAGAAGGTCAGGTTTCATCTTATGGCGGCCGGTTTCATTTAAACTACTTAGTATTCAATAGTTGCTACACAACATAGGCAAGCAAATTCACTGGAAAGGCCACATCTTTATTAGTATGTCTGATTAATCATAGTCCAGTTCCGAGGTTAATGCTGCTGTAGGTTTGTTGATAATGGCCTCAAGCTTATATTAGGCCGAAAAACCGTATTTAGGTAGCTCTGCACACTGTGATGTTCGAAATCTAAATATCTTCGCAAAGTATTCCAGCCGCAAGAACCTCAAAACTTCCACATTCAAGTGTAGAAGTTTGTTAAAAGACATTGTTCTGACAGGTCATTGAAGCTCGGAGTGAAGACTGCAAGACCCATGACAGGTAATGAAAGACCCATAAAGCATTTAAAATCATGCGAGTGCAAAAATACACTATGATTTGTCAAGCCGCCTGAGCAGTGGCATATCCAGCAAGCAAACTGTCGAGCTTTACGCTTAAGATTTGAGTTGTGTCGTTGTAGTCTTCGCACCATACTTTCATCGCCTTAGATATAGGCACCAATACCTTTAATGCGCTGCATGCTTTGCTCGAAGAAAAGCATTACATGTAGAGACCAGCACAGGAATTTGGTTGCGATGCCAGGCTTGAACCCTTACCTAGTTGATCCAGAAAAATATAGATGTTTCGTTGGTTTTGAGTGCTTTCAAGCCACATACAGCAAGCAAGATGTCTTCAGCGGACAGCCTTTCGGTATCTGAATCAGATATTGCATGATCTTGAAAAAAGAGAGACCGTCTATTTTAGCGTTATGGTCAGCCAAGTGCCTCTAGCTTAGACAAACAACACCGTGCACGAAGTAGGCCAGGAGGTTGCTAACCTACAATATTGGTTTTGTTCTTGGTATCATACAAGCCCACGTTGTGTCGTAGAGGCCGATCGCGTGGTCCGTTGATCTAAAATGGGCAAGCGCTTATGTCTCGTCTTAATTAATGTCTCTGGGATTTTCATATCCCAAATATTCACTACATATGCTAAAATAGAAAGCACGGAAGTTTCTCATCTGCGGCCGACAAGCACGTCACAATAAATCCGTACCAGAAAGACCAGCGAAGTAGCTTAGCTAGAAACGATTACTTTGTAATTGGTCCACCATCTTTTCGGTTTAAACTCGTCGTCTTCGATAGCCTGCCTACAACGAAAGCTCTGATTCAAATGTCGAAATACTGAAAGCGGCCGCATATACGTCTATTATTGGTAGTTTATTATCGAATAAAACATTCCCGTAAGGCAGCATCATCATATCGTCAGAGTTAGACGTGGTACACTGTGCATATAGCCAGAGATTTACATTGTATTCAATTACATTGACCGGGCGCTTGGATTGTTACTAGAATTATAGGGTAGCGGAAATTAGCATCAGATTTAGGTTGTATAGATAGTAAAAGAATTGTTTGAGTAGTAAAATCAAGTGTAGCCGAAAAATGTTACTTCCAATCCGGTCTCGTCTCAAGAGACACAAGAAAACAGCTCTAACAAGTCTAGTGATTAAACTGTGATGTGCATTCGACCCTCGTGATAGTTAAAATATTTTACTCTCCTCACTTTTCATTTTGCCATCCTGCACACAGTATGCGTATCAAGAACATTGCAGCCAAGTTGTCCAGTTTCATGGTTCTAGCGGTTGCCGCCGTGTTTGGAAGGTGCTCAGCGACAAGCATGCCATATGACTTTAGCGCGCTGAGTACGTCTGGTGAGAGTGTCGTCTCGTCCGAGCACAACTTGACCTCTCACCTTGCCGTGACGACGAACGACCCTGCCGGCAATTCTGAAGCAAGAACTGTAACTGATGTTGCTGCAAAGGTGCCTTTACTTGAAAGGGTTATCGATAAAGAGCGTCATTTTGAAACGCCGGAATCGTTAGTGGCACATTTGCGTGACATTTTATTGCTCAAGAAAAAAGAAGAAGCCAAAATGTATTTACGCAGTGACGAATTTTTTCATATATTCAATAATTACAGGTCCATGTGTAGAACGATGAGCGCTGAAACCAAGTTGAAGGCGGACGTTGCATTTTTCAATGCATTAAAACATAAGCTTGGCGCCCAAACGGTTTTAACGCGTTTTGACGAAATCATTCATGGCAAAGAATATTCACAAGAGCTGGTGAAACAGATGACTGAAATGCGAAATGCACATTTTTTAGATGTGGCTGGCATATACAAAGATGCGAATTCTTACATGTTGTACGTGATAGACTCAAACGCGAAAATGTTATTGGGTTCGAAGGAAATGACGGCTGAAAAAGTCAATGCTGACTTGAAGCTGCAACGTATTAGGGATGATTACACGAGTTTCCTTGGTCAGTACAACGAAGCATGGTCTCAAATGGTCCTTCGCAGTGCAAACAAGAACTAGAAGCTTGTTTCTGGTCTTACTGTCAGAAGTTGATTTTGTTGCGTTTTAAAACTAATTGCTAGTTCTAATTACCCTTCTTAATCTGCATCAGTAAAATGGTTTGCTTCATACACTTTGAATTGCTGTTAGGATACCTAAAAGCTGTTTATGCCTACTGTTAACTATTAATCGTTTGCAGTAAAAGAAATATACTAGCTTACCTCTTCATATTACATGGTTGTTTGCAGTTGTTAAATTATGGTGTCTGCAATGCTCTGAAAATTTCTGGAACAACTTACTAAGTGTAAGACAATGTTGAAGGAACAAGGAGTAATGAAAAGGTTAATGGATCGATCAAGAGTCCCTGACTTTTGTAGTTTCCGAGTCTATCCTTCGTCATCTGCAGAACCGGTTGAAGAAATTGTTGTCCGCTGTTATGGCCGATCAACTAGTTGATAAACGCGCTGGCGAGGAGAAGGAAAGGAGTTACGAAATCAGATGAAAATTTGCTGAATCGGAAAATGTAGAAGCTCACAGCACTGGAGAAAAAACGATCGACCAATTCAAGATTTACAGGCTGACAGTGTTCATACAGCGATCATTCGAGACAAAGTTCGCACGATTTTCGAAGCGAAAGCTCAAGTCACGATCGCGCAGCACGTGTTCAAACTATAACAAGTTCAAGGCAGCACGATACAAGGTGGACAATGCTGTGAACGTGACTGTCGCAATCAATAAATCGCAAAGCTTTACCTATGGTCGAGCTCAACAATACGCCAGCTTGAACAGGGGTAGAAGAAAGGCAACGCTTCTTTTAAACAGGCAGCATTAAAGAGATGCCGTTGTTTGGCGGTTATAGATGAGCTGTAATTCTACTTGAGACTTGCTGATATGCAGCTAGTTGGTAAATGTTGTCCGTGTGCACAATTTTCGTGGCCATAGAATCTGTGCTTTCAACATAGCTTTTGGTAGCAATCAGCAGAGCATTTTGTTTCTTGCTAGCATATCGGATTATTCAAGAGATGTGAAGGCAATAGAAACGCCCCAAGGTGTTCATTAAAAGTCCAAATGACTTCTAATGAAAATTGCTGTACGCGATGAAAAGTTATCGTCATAGGTTGTAAAAGATGAGATCGAGAAAATTTCTTTTGTTCATCTATGATTCAGTCGAGATGGAGATGCATTGTCTGAGTGTCTTATCACGTCAACATCTATCTCATTCAAAATTTTCTTGTGCCGAGATTTTGAGTCTGGTTATGTTTTTCGTCGTCTGTACATGCTATTGCACCAACTTGTTTCCATGTTGCACATTCTACCTACTTCATTCCATGTAGTCATGAGATTCGAAAGGTCGCACTGTCAGATATTGCATGTCGGCATACTGGACATGAGCTACCATGAAGACGCTTGACACACATCGCGCAATAGCTGTGTCCACAAGGAACAAGCACACGATCGACCACATTGACTAAACATACAACACACACCAAGGCCTTCTCTGCATCTCTCTGCGCTCGTAAAGCTTGCTCAATCTGCTGCAAAGCACCGCGTCGGTCTTCCTCTGCTACCGTGACCCGGTGTTGCAGCCGCCAGACCTCATCCAGCAGCTCCTTGTAGCTCATGCTTAACGAAACGTTCATCCGTGCTAAAAGTGCGTTTACTTTAGCAACTACGCCAACGATCGAAGCTTCTGTCTCCTCCTCCTTGTCACTAGTCCACATACGAACCTCCTTGCTGTTTGTTCTTTCTTGAATCGGCTGAAAAAAGTAGATTTGTGACAATGTATACCACCTGATACAAGACTTGGATACTTGCACTTTGACCTCTCGAGAGCTGCTGATGTCTTCCTCGTCCTTGACTTTCCCGTAACGCAAAATACCGTCACTGTCTTTCACGGCTACAATCTCCCGTGGAAGACACGGTCGCATGGGCATCAATTGAACACTAGCAAGATCAGCGACAGTCAATGGCTCACCAAGAAGGTCTTGCAGACGTTCTTCAATGAGAAGTGGTAATTGTTGTAATTGTTGTTGTTCCTTGGTTCCAATTGCCTCGGGACGTTGATACGGCACATCACGTGACTGCAGACTCAGTTCTACGCGAAGAGGGGCATGAAATACATTGACGGATTGTAAACTCGAATATCTCGTGGGTGAAGGGCTGTATGTACGGGTAATACAGGACGTAGGCAAAGCTCCAGCGTCTATAGGAGGGGGTGATGTGTCCATCAACAGATTGCAGTCTTCTTCAACAAGATTTAGCCAATTACATGTAGCAACAAACTTACTTTTTAGTGGTAAAAATTAAGAGCAAAAGCATAAAGAAGCTGCCCCTTATTAAGTGTAACAAACACTTTCATCATGTCACATACAAACAGTAAGTTTATTTTCTCACCAAAAAACACAAGCCTACTTCAAATGTCAATAGGTTGATGTCGCGTACGCATGACAAACATCGTACAGTTTCAGTCGTACAGTATGTACTCGCACAAGTTTCTCGTATTGGAAATACCATACAGACATGACCTATGATGGCACATGAAAGACAGAGCTGGAAATAATATTCTCGCGACACACTGGACACGAAAGACGCGGCAGCTGTTCCACGCAGACGGCACAGTAGATGTGACCGCACGGGATAAGCACGCGGTTCACTTTATTTTCCAGACACACGGCGCACACGAGGGAGTCCTGCACTTCTTTTTTTTCACGCATGACCATGTCAATCTGCGTTGCTGCTGCACGGCAACTAGCTTCTGCTACCTCCAGACGCCGTTGCAGTCGCAGGTTCTCAGCCATCAGGTTTTCCACACTCGTATCCAACGTTACGTTTAGGCGAGATAGGAGGTCATTGACAGCAGACAAGACATTTGCAGAGGAGATCATTAATGCTGGAGCTTTGACACGAGACGCAATCTCATTGCTTTGAGCTTGAGAAGCAATTGCTACGACGGATGTTGGCAATGCTGTGTCCTCATCGTAACTAGCTGCAATGTCTTCGACTTGACGTCTAGACGACCCAGTAGTCGCAGCAGTGTGATGGCTGCCCATTTCCATGCGAGCAGATCGGAAGAAATACAATTGGGTGGCCAACATCCATCGAGTTGACGAGCTGTTCACTTTCACTTCATATTGACTAACACCTGCAACGTCACTTGGCGCTTCACGTAGAATTTTGCTATAGCACAGGATTCCACTATCATCTTCCACCGCGACAAGTTCTCCAGGTAGACAGGAGCGTAACGGAGCCAGCTCCACGTTAGTGCAGTCTGTCTCGCATAAAGGGTGGCCCATTACACCTCGAAGCTTCTCCACAATCAGGAAAGGGTCTTCATAGATATCAAGTCGTTGCAGTACGTTGGGAATCTCCACTTCATTGCAAGTCAAAATCGATTCTAACACGGAGCAGTCCTGCAGGATACCACCGAGCAGTTGGTTGATGCATCTTGCCACCAAATGGCTCACCCGCATTCCTGTCCCAGAGCGCTCCGCGAGCGCGCACTTTGCAATGTAAATCCGCCTCTTCATTTGGTCCACAAACGACAAACTGCCCTGGTGTGTGGCCTTGGTCACATCAATTCTACAGGCTGAGCAATCTAGCTTCGCAATGAAGCGCGAGTGCAGACCCGCCACGCATTTTACTTCGTATGTCGCCAAACTCATGATCCGCTGATTAATGTCTTCGAAGTCAGGTATAAATCCAGATGCATCAGATAATGAGGACTTCTGTTGTTGAGCCGTGATGATCTTACGCAAACCATCAGCAAACGGCTTCGATGCCAACATACTGGTAAAGTGTGCAAAAACATCGTCACCAACCAGCGCCTCCATCGGACTTTCGCCACCATCTAGCTCTTCCGTCACAACACTAGTAATTCCTGGCACCCCCAGTCTTTTGCAGCACATTGTACTTATACGAGGATGGGCCACGTGCAATTTTGTGAGATCAATACTTGAGCAAAGCGCTGGTGAGTCGTTGTAAGCCATCACCAGCATCGATTGCATTATCGCCCTTCCCGACGGAAGGAAAATACTGTTTTTCTCATCCAACGAGAGACGATGATTGGACTCGGTCATGGCAGTCACGAGAAGATCGATTGTACGACAAGCTGCAATCAGTTCATTCAAGTTCAACGGTTGACCGCAGCATTCGTCATTCAAATCGCGCAGTAGTCGGATATAGTCACTCACTTCCGGGGATTCTTTCGATCCCATGTTACGAAATAGCGTATCATACGCGCCGAACACCCGCGGCACTTCAAACATCAATGGAGCCAAATTTCCGCCTAAATGAAAGAATAAGCGAGAGCCCTTTACTAGGATAGAACCAACCGGGATAACTGCCGCTGCAATGAGACGCCGTTGGGTTTCCACCTCCAACTCTCTCCAGTTCTCCTGCAAAAACTTGAAAACTGCTTGGAACACTTCGACCATTGGCAAGAAGAACTGCCAATCCAGTGGCCGTGACGACAAGGCGCGATTGCTGTTCGTGATGCACAACAAGTGGGCAACGACCTTATCTTGAGGTGGTGGAGACCTGATACCTAAGCGACTGTAAAGAACGCGTGGTGGTTGTGCTACGCTCGCCAAGATCGGCATCGTAGAATACGCCAGCGCCTGGTCGTCTGAAATAGCGCACTCGGAGTACTTACGCACAACGGAGCGCGATTTGAACTGTCCTGATACATTTTGTGCCGACTCTGCAATATCGGATGTATCATACACAACGGCAGGAACAAATGCCAGTGGTTTAATTTGGTCGAAAAATGACCGTGACCGATCAAACTTGTCAAAATTCTGGACAAAATAATGGTGCAGCGTTGTAGTGAGATGCTCGTCTTCGGTTGAAAGAGCTTGTTTAGTTGAACATTGTTCGTCAATGCGTCGCGCGCACTCCACAAAGATATCGACAGTCACTTCTGTTTGCAGCCCAATCTCACCCATAAAATCCAGCCACTCGGACGTCCTGTAGCATTGAGCTGGGAACCGTCCGCTAACCCCGTCATAGATTGTGGCGAGGACACTGTTTCGAGGATCGCAGAAGAAACTCGCTGGCCGATAACTTGTGCCATCTTGAAAGAGAGAGGATGTTTTGAGCAAGGTGATCAATTCCGCGTTGCCACGCAATGATTGCCACTTTTGTAAAATAATGCGCAGTATCTGATTGCGCTGAGATTCTAGCAGCTCCTCGTACATCGGTAATACGTACATCAGAAGCTTGCTATTGCTCATTTCTTCCACACCAAGTTCCTGGTAAAACGCATTTAAGCGTGAATTGCTTTTGAGAAAGCATTTCTGTGCATCTGGAGGCAATGGGATGTCTGTCAGGTTAAGATCTGGCGGAATCAAGAAGAAATCTAGGCCGCTACCAATTGCACAAAGTGTATCACAAATAGTCACAAAAATTGGCAGCTGTTTCAGCTTTCCTAGCTGGACACGATTATATCCACCGGAAGTGTTGCCATAATGACTGAAAAACTCGGCAAGCAGCACCGCACGTGCTTCGCCTAATTCCTCCCAACGCAAATTCTCCCACACTGATGCGAAAATTCCGTCAAGAACGACCAAACCCACGTCTGCACTACTTGGAACAATGTCACGTTTTTGGCCAAAATAAGCAAGCTCCATCATTGCCACATTCAGATCGAAGAGCACTTCATGAAGCGTTTCCCGGCTGCAAAACTCGTGTGATTCATCCTCCACTGTAGACACGAAAACGGCCAAAGCTTCAGCAGTTTCAACGTCATCGACGTTAGCTTCGTCATCATCGCTGACGGTCACTGGTGATAGTAATGTTGAATCGGGTGATAAAGACATCTCTTCACTAGCGTCTTCATTTGCCGGCAAACCGCCCAGACTAGAAGATCTGTCTTGATTTTGTGGTGCAATATCTTCCATTATGGACAAATGCGTTGTTGCACTTGATGAGCTATCATCAGAAACAGACGCCATTTCATCATCGTTTGCAATCTCTCCATTGTCCTCGTCCCCATTCTCTCCACCACGTTCTTCTTCGTCCGAACTACTGCTTTCAGCTACTTCGTCGTCCGTTTTGAATCTTGCAGAGCTCAGCTCCATCAAGCGCTTGTGTTCAGCTTGAACTTCATCCATCTTCTTTTCTTGCTGCAAACCTGAAGCCTGAAATACCTCAGCAACTTCTGCAGATATTTTGCTATCTGCCGAGCCATCCCACACACAAATAGCCATATCCATCTTACTGCAAGAAACTAACCGTGAGCCCTTCACAGGAATTAGTGGCCAGTTTGCGAAATACTCAAGAGAGCGGCGCTCGAAGTTTACCACTTGCCAAAAACGGTACAACCACAGCTGATCAATTCCAATTGGCGACTTTGGATCCCACTGAACAATTGCTTGGTTTTTCCAGGCGGACGGTAATATCTTTTCAATGTTGTCGGACAGAATCTTGATGGAGAACGAAGCCAGACCAAACACGGAGGTGAAACGAGTGTCCGAGAAGAACTTGTGAAGACGTTGGGATGCCACCACAGATACAAAGAGGTGGCCCAGTGGCCGGAGCAATTCAACCTGGTTGAATGACGCAAGCACATAATTTGTACGACGTTGGTTTATTCGAAGCACACCGATGCTCCCATCTTCAAGCGGAAGTAGACAAAGCCCATGAAGCTCGGCCCAAACCGGGTCCGTCTCACTTGGCAAGGGGAACGGCAAATCGCTCAGGCAATACTCTAACAAGGATAAACAGACGTCCGAGTGAATTGCAAAACTGCTCTCACTTTTTAAAAATCGACGCATCACTTTTGGCGTAACCGAGTAAATACTTGAGGGCAGAAGTCGCAAGCAATCTTGCAAAATTCTTGTCGGGACGTCAAGTGCTGGGAAATGAAGCTGAGCAAATGATGCCACCTAAACAGAACAGAACACATTTAACAAAATCAAGACTTGAAGAAGCTGCAAAGTGGAGAAACTTACCTGAATGTTGATGCCACCAAAGTCAAGCTGATACCCACCGCTTAGTGCACGGAATATTCCGTCAGTACATAAAAATAGCTCCCGCATTCCAATAGAATGGTATGTATGCGTCTGCAGTAAGGTACCAAGCTGTTTTTCGCCTCTCCGCTGAACCAAACAACACTACTCGTCAGTGTATCCAATCGAAAGCGTCACTCACATCGTTCAGTTTTACCTTTTGTAATGTTGGCCAGATATTGTAAAGTGCCTTGGGAAATCTGCTTGCGTAATATCGTTTTGCAGCCATAAGAAGCCTCATATACGCGTCCGTAAGTCCATCTTCCACTAAAACACGGTTCCAAACCGCGGCAAGCTGTTGGTCACTACCACTTACACCACCATCATCTCTTCCACCGACTTGGCTAAATGACACTGTCAGTGCTAGGTTCTTATTATTTGTGGCTCTCTTGAAACAACCATTGATGTGCACTGGGAGCCCCACCAGCTGGCCAGTGTTTATGATCTCGTACACGCTACCACGTAGACGTGGAGCTGGATTGCTGTCGCGTAAGATATGGCATGCTACACTCACGTACGGAGTCGAATGAAGCATCTCGTGGACTGGGGTGCATGCCAAATCACGACTTCTACCCCATCCATTATTATCCGCAAACAGCCATGTGTCGCGATGATGTCGGTTTTCCAGTTCAAGATCAACAATAAACTCCATTTTGTTTTCAGGAATCACTGGGTTCTTAAAAAAACTTTGGAGTGAGAACTTTTTCTTCCACTCTTGGTTTTGGCGCGTCATGTTGCGCTTCCGAAGTGTAGACTCGGGTGCATCAAGAGACACATAGCCATGGCAGTGAAATGCAAACTCAGACTCCTTACCTACACTCCAAAGCGAAATACGGTGGACGGACTCTGTGAAAATTAATGTCTGAAAAAGCTGCAGTTTCAAAAACGTAATCAAATTCTCCGCTTCTCTTGAATCCAGTACATATGACGATACATCCGATCCCTTTTTGCGCCACGGGAATCGAAGCAAAGTGCTTTGAGTTCCTCGCGACACATTGCTTGGGCACGATGGAAGAGCTGTAAACGGCAGTAACTGGTCCGGGTATCGCAAAAAATCTTGGCTTCGCACTTCGTACCGTCGACCAATACATGCCGCCCGATCTGAAGCTGGTATCGTTGTATGAGTAGACAGGTAGCACCCCGTCGGATCCAATATATAAAAACCCTTCCCACTCAAAATTTGCATGCAGTCTGACGCAATAAACCCGCATAGAAGCCCCGCACGCAAGGGCTCTTGGTGAAACAAGTTGTTAATGTCACTTTCGCTCAGAACCACGTCGTGGATATGAATGCACAGTGCTTCGTCTTGAAGAGGTTGCAGCGACGGCTCGATTACGCGCTGCGATGAGTGATGACGGCTATCCAGAAAAAAGTCGACTTGAGTACCTCCAAGTCGCTCAGCTGCCAGAATTGTTTCCCAAAGCAGTGCATGATGCCACTCCGATGGAGAAGGTAGTATACCATGTAGCGCATCAGCAGCTGGGCAAACTACAGGCTGGCTAGTTACTGTCGTCTGTGCAAGCTTCAAGTGCAAGGATGTAGCACCCAGCAGGCGCGAAACAGTTTCCGGAACTCTTTCTGAGACAAACTTTATCCCCCGTCGAATATCTTGCGATTCATTCCACTTCATGTCGTCAAATGTTAGCTGTACGGCAGGAATTAACTGGTTTGTCTGATCCATTAAGACCATTTCATGTAGAACGAAGGATTTTAGCGCTGATTCCAGTGCTAGCGTGTCTTCCGCAAGAAGTTCAAAGATTTTTAGGCATGCCACAACCTCCTTCTCGCTCAAAGCTGCGTTTCGTGGTAGTCTCATAGTCGCTTCTAAGTAGTCGACCGTAGAAAAGGTATCTCGAATGCCAAATGAAGCAAGAAGCGATCGCGGGATAATATGCTCTCTTGGGCAGCAATACAAAAGTGGCTCTAAGTTAGCGTCCGCCTGCGCTGCGAATTGGCGTGGGCATGCAAATTCTTTGCCAGTGCAAATCCACAAAGCATCCATCAGCTTGCGATACAAAGGAGTCATCAGCCAGCCCTCTTCGTCTGACATTCGATATCTCTCCAAACACCCATACATTAGGTACACTTCCGACGACGGAAAACGCCAATTCGAGCTTGGAGACGACAACAAAGGCTTAGTATCTTTCTTGCGACAGTATTCTTCCCACAACGAGCCAATTGCTTCGAGCTGCTTTGCAATCACAACAGGGTCAATTTGTTCATTCCACCCAAACTCGGAAATAAGCTCTTGTGACATCAGCTCACCGTCCAGTATATTCATTGACGAGGAGCAGAACCACTGTTTAGAAAATGATGATACAAGAGCAAGTTAGACAGATTAAACTCAGAATTCATCAAGATCAATCACGTACCGCATCTTTAAGTGGGCGCGTATCTGACGCACGCGAAAGGCGGACTCGGTGGCTACTTTTAGTTGAGCTTTTCCATGGCATTGCAGGTTCAGGTGACTCACTAAGAACAGGCAACCATTGAACTTCTTTCAAGGCTGTCATGATTTCCTGCATTGCTTCTTTTTCGCTATTTTCTGTTTCCTCATCAGCAGTACAATCACTTGAACTAGAAGCCAACATCATGGAATCAAAGTGTTTGTTGACAATTGTGAGCAAACTTTGAGCCTTATGACTAGCCCGGTCAGCAAGCTCATCACCGTCTTCTCTGTACATCGCTTCAATGGAGCGCGCACTTTCCAGCACCGCGTGGCACGACAGTCCAGTGCGAAGCCCCAGCGGCCGGAGTATGTTAACGATTAACGAAGTTGAAAATGCGTGGGCAGGTAGACTGTTCTCACCCACCAATTCACTCAGCTCGCTCACACTAGGGTCATGAAGTTGGTTGACAGCACGAAAGTTCCGTTTTCTAGAAGGAATGATTGCATGAGTTGAAATAAACTCGCGAAATCGCGTGTCATTGCGCTGATGAAATGAAAGTGTTTCCAGGGCACTAATGATTACAGAATCTACCAAATTTCCATCGTGTCTTTCCAAGACCGGTAGTTGCGGGAAAACATGATCCAATAAGATTGTGGCGTACGTCAATTCTTCGATTCCGCAGTCACGAAGAAACCTCCTTGTGGCTTCTTTCTCAACACGAAAAAACGAATCGTCAAGTATTCTGGCATCGGCACCCGTGTCAGGTAAGTATCCTCCTCGCCTTAAGCTGACGAACTGCACGTTGTCGTCATGTCGGGTACTAGTAGCGTCAAGAACGGGTTTATCATGTACAGAAAATATCGGAAGCTCAAACAGAATAGGCTGGAAGTCATTTGATATGGCATCAAATGTATTTTGTGAGAAAAAATCGCACAACACTTGTCGATCGTCTGACGTCGTCGCAGCAAAAAGTTCATCAAAAGATTGCCTATTGTGGCGGAGCTGATAGCGGCTCAGGGCTGCCAAAAGACCGTTTGAAGTCAGTTTGTGAGCATATTTGCGCGCTAACAACCATTGCGCACTCCTTCCACCGGCAACGTATGCCGTATTCATAACATAAATGCCCACTTTCGCCAATGTATGTCGCAGCTGACGGAGTATATCTGACGACAATACAGGTGCCTCCGAATGAGGAAGAACAAGGCTAACGTTTGCAGACAGGCATAGCCATTGATTTTCATCCTCACACATGATGGGAATCAACGGCCACTTTGTAATGGCTTCGGGTAGCTGCTCAACCGTCTGTAATTGAGTCTCCGCATACTTCCACAGTAGGCGTATCCAATCCTTTTTGTTCTCCACTTGTGAAGATGGGTAAATAGTAAAAACATCTTCCTTCGGTTTACTCCAACAGTGGCTAAGCACATGTGGTAAGAAATTAGCCAGTATGGCTTTGAGATCCACCACGCTCAGATTTGAGTACTCGTACACAAAGGGCAGCTGGTCAAATAGCTCCTTAAACTCCCTGCGTACGACACGATGTGGAAAATCGGCCAAAAGTTGTTCCTCTATGGCACTTGCAAAAACGTAGTTTAGCTGCTGTTTTTTACTTTGCCAGTCCAATTCATTGCTTCGCAAACTTTCATCATTGAAACAAATTTTTCCAAATTTTCCGTCCTTTAGGGGCAGTAATGGTAGTTGGCTGAGAGTTTCCGCGAGGGAGTTTGAAGAGCTTTGACAATCTGACAAGCAAAATTTAACAACCCGCTGAAGAGTGTTTGCATCCAAGGTAGGTAGAAAGTCTCCTTGTCCCGTCAGTTGCCGGAAAAAGGCAGGTGTCATCACTCCGTAGACGGCATCAAGCTGAATTAGCAAGCTGCGTAGTGCCATAGGGACATGCACGGTCACTAGTGACGCGGCACCTAGTGCAATCTCAAGAGTTTGGCAATCAGTAAGACTGTCATCCACTAAAACACAGGAGCTTGGAGCAACTATTTTTCTGGAAATCTTCGCAGACGTGTTACTCTGTAGCTGGATCTTTGAAGCAAAAAACATCGGCCGATCCTTCATGATGCGAAACAATTCAAGCGCAATGCTATCCCAAGGACAAGCAGGCATCTTTGTCGGAAAAAATGATAAATATTGAGAGGGCTTTTTCTCAAACATAGCTCTTGCTTCCAGTAGAAAAGTTAAGTAAGCAGGAGCGACCGCATCTACCAACAGATTTGCATTCCATTCGGACCGGAGCTTTCCATCGCCACTCATGTCATCTCCGATCCAAATATCGCGCCGATTCGACGACAATTCAAAGTAACCATTAATGTGAACTGGTAGGCCAACTCGTACTGGAAGAGGCAAAAAACAAAAAGCACGGCCATCTACAGGCACTCCGTCGATACGACTCGCAATACCAACCCATGGAATAAGCTTCAACGACTCGTTTGCAGCGGCACAGGCCATCTCGCGGGCCTTTCCGCCGCCAATTTGGTTGCATACAAGGTACTTTTCAATCGTTTCATCCACCTGATATGCTTGATCAGCTTCAACTGTCTCGGCTCCTGTACACCCCAATTCAACATCAAATTGGCGAAACAAGTTTGCCAGTTCTTTTTGTTGTCGTCGACGAACATGGAGAACCTGGGTCACCGATGGTAGCTCGTCCGTCGGTGTAGATCGTAAGCGAGCATAAAACTCTCTTTTCGCGAATAGCTCCGTCATACCAGGTTCGTCTGCCACTAACTCGTCATTGCGCATGAATCGATCAATCTTACGCCAAGACTCGCCACGATCGACTTCAGGAACTTCTGCACTGTAGAGGAGCATAGGAGGCTGATTGGTTTCTGACTGGAGATACACTTCTACTGTGCGAACATTTCGAAGGAACAACATTAAATCTACAATTGATTCCTGGAAGCTTTTAAATAGTTCCACAATCTCGTGGTGAGAGTAGCCTCGACGCTTGATTTCACTGCATTCTGCGAGAGAGCTGTTACGGAGTGGAAATCGAAATAGAGTCCCTCTGTAATGGTGCTCAAGGTCACATCCAAACACACCCTTAAACGGCGCAAATTGGTCAGGGAACTGCTTGACGATGCTTGAATTTGCAAAACAAATTTTGATTCCAGGGTTGGCAGCTGAAATCCCAGGCAAATGAGTAGCATGAGGATCAAACATCACTAAACGGGTCGCAAAAAAGTCAAACACAACACCACAACACGTTATTGGTCTTGCTCAGGCCGCGCTACGTTTTCTATACCAAAATCGCTGTCATCTTCTTAGTGCGTACCAATAGACTTGGCCGAAACAATCGAAGGTAGGTCTGTAAAATGGTACACCGAGTTAAATCCTAGTCCAAACCGACCAGTAGTAGCAGCACGTTGCAGTTTACTTGCTTGACCAATGCGAGCAAGATTAATAAAATCTCTATCACTGAACTCAGCATCGTTATACTATGTAAATAACATCTAAGTTAGAATGACAGTGGAGCATAAATAGCAAATCAGAAACGTACACAAAACAGTGATGGTCCTTGCCACTTCGCCATGGCTGGACTTAACAGCGACGATGTCCCATATGAACAACTATTGTAGAGCACGCACACACGAGTTGCTCCAGCGTCATCAGCGTTTTGAATCAGCTCACTAAAGATATTTGGTCCGTCTGGATACTGCTCCAGTATGTGCGCAATCCGTTTTGTTAGCGCTTCTGTCTGGCCGAAGACCTCCACATTACCTTCACCGCCAAATGACATTGCCTCATGGCCACTTTCATTCAATAACTGGCTCCGCAAGGAACAACACCCAATTTTTGCAGCCACTTCGTTCGAAATTTTTGGGTGAATAAATCGCGTGGATCCCGAACAAGTCTCATAGTCACGCTTATCCAGCCATGGGGCGTCATCAAACGTTAAATTTGCTGCGAATTCAAGAACACCGTTTCGGTCGGGAGCAAATAGCTCATAATCAGAGTGATGCTGTAGCGTATCACTAATCAACTGGACTAACCCAATCACCAATGCCAGCTTATCACCCGAGAGATGGACAGCATTAACATCACTACCCCTAGTAGTCACCCCTGCTAAACATTCCTTGTGCATCGCTCCAAGAACATGCACATAATCTGCCAGCGCAAACCTTTCTCGAACGCCAATTGCTCGTAGAAAGGGTCGGAAGTGAAGTAGTTCATTAGGAACTGTATACATGTACGGTTCAGCATTTACGACAGCCACTGTTGCGACATGACTTGCCGACACAAAGCGGTCACCAACCCACACGTATTTGCCATTTCCAGATAGAATCCTCAACACCTGGTCGCGGCGTCCTCCTTGCTCAGCCTCAAAGAATTGCGACAGGAGCTGGTATATGTTGTACACTGCCGACCAAACAACATGTGTGTCCCCATCATTATCAACTTTTAAGCTCAGATCAGTTTCAATTTGTGATTTCCGCTTGTCAAATATTAGCGAGATCTCCTTTAGCTGAAATGCAATAGTATCAATAGGTAGGCGTTTCTCCCAGCCCAAAACGGTTCGTAATACCTCCGATTGCACTGAGCACTTGATTATGTGATATTGTGACGAGCATAGCCACAAATGTTTGATCGGCCGGGATTGCTGCGGTGACGCAACAATGATTCGCTCTCCGTGTTTAAGCCATGGCGCTATAGGATGCGGTTTCTCTTCGCGCACTGGAATCCACATGATGATCGCCAGTTTTGCTTTAAAATCTTCAATCTCAGTATGCTCGATCGCTTGCTCCTCCTGAGTTTCTGCGGTAGGCACTCGTTCACCATTTTCTGTATCAAGTACACGTGAGCGGTCATCGCCCAAAAAGTTCCGCAAAAAACGAATTCCTCTGCTCTTTTTCTTAACTTTTGTTGTATAAGTTTGTGCTTGTCTTTGAAGTGGTATCGGGGTGACTAATTGGCTCATGTGCGCGTCCACATACTGAAAAAAGTTAAACGAACGGGCACGCAACTTTTCACACATTTCATCCAGCTCAGTGTTGTGTTCTAGCAAAGAATTAGCTGCCAAAATCTTCATTTGATCATGCTCCAAAGATACCGCGAGCGACAAAATGGATCGGCGCGACAATGTACGCTGTAGACCAATTGATCTTAATGCGGAAAGCGGCTGTGAATCTTGAAGTTCTATGGCCGGGAAAAATGAGTCGTCCATGATTTCCATAAATTCATCTACCTCGGGGTCGTATAAATCGTCAATGGACTTCAACTCTCCCGTCATTGTTGGAAAAATTGCCGCAGTCTCGATAATATGTAGCAAAATGCCGTCACTGTCCTGCGCTAGCAAGGCAGTTAGTTCCACCAATAATTCGTAGACAAATTTCACGCGTGCTTTGGGTTCAATGCAATCAAAGCGAGGAATCAAGAACTTCGCAAACATTTCTACTTTTGAAATGCGTCGAACGCCTAAGTGCGACAAAAGGTTTAAAAGCAATGTGTCGCCTTCTCTCACAAAAACAAAATTGTCGTCAAGAAACTTTGGAGCCATACCCACACATAACAGGGGTTCCTTGTGGCGCGCATCAATCTCAGCAACTGAAACAAAGGTAGGAGAAAAACCACTGTCCGTATTATCGAGATCTTCGTCGCCGCTTACCCATCCAACATCGAGCTGTTCAATATGACTAACATTTCGAAATCCCGGGAAAATTGGTAAATTGCAGCAAATGTGCTTGAGATCCACGCCGATATCCTCAATTACTGCGGACGCCAGAAACGTAAGCAGGTCTTCCCTGTCTGATCGATCAGTGTGTGCAAACAACTCGTTCACCCGAGTTGACATTGCCAAGCTTCCATCTGCACCTATGATCGCTTCAATACACGACAGCACGCCGACAGCAGTAGGCTGATGAATGTACTGCCATATATCTGGATTGGGCTGAAAAGTCGCAAACAATTTTGGTAGAAGTATACGAACTTGTAGCTTTTCCAAGCACCGGAGACAGCCCTCAGGGATAAGTTCGGCACTCAGCACACCAGCTGAAAGACTTAACTGCACTAACGTGTTGGAAGAAGTTGGGACGATTGGCCACTTATCCTTATATGCCGCGAGATGCTTACTTGTACCTATGTATTTCCAGAGCTGACGAAACCATTCCACGTTTGGCGTTTGTCCGTCCGTTTTTTCAGTCCATGGTACTGTTCGCTTTCCAAACCACGCGGCAGGTAGTATCACTGCTAACATATCATCAAATCCTTGGTAGTCTAGCTTCTGCACATTAAGAAGCTTTCCTGCTGCGTCCGATAAAAGAAGATTTAGCATACTTTCATTCATCACTTCAATGTTCACCAGGTGACCGCGCGCTTTGTCCAGTATTGACAATTCTTCAGAGCTAGGGATCAAAAACAAAGTACTCGCTCTTTCTCCACATACCGCAGATGGATTCGGATTCTGAAGCAGCCAATTTAGGGCTGTTTCCGCTCCATTTTCACCAGCAACTGCAAGCGCGTAAACCGCGTGTAATCGCGAAAACCCCATTGAACACAAGTATTTAAGTTCGCTAGAATCAACTTTGGGACGGCTCTCAAATGTCCGAAGAGTTCCATCGGCCACAGGGAGAAAGTTAACATCGACAAGAGCATTTAAAGTATCTAGCTTTAGGTCGCTCAACATGAAGCCTAGCAGGCACTTAGTAGCTTCTTGGTCACCTGCGTGGACGGAATGCTTCGTTTTGTATGCCTCTCGCACAGCCTGTGGCTCAACGTACGACGGAATTGTTTTCGTTTTAACTAAAACGCGTTCAAGTTCTTCTGCCAAGTTTCTGACAATAGGAAAGTCATCATCAATCATTAGCTGCTTTAGCTGGTTTGAGTTGGGGCAACTGCTGCGAACCACCATGCTTTGTGTGGGAGACACCCAACGACCACCTCCAACGTCGCTGTATAGACATGGTTTGCTTCGAATCAGTGATAAAAACGCGTGTGTTAAAGAATCCCAAGGTGCTGGTGGAAGCGCGTGCGGGAACAGCTTAACATGCTGTTCAGGAGCCATAACTAGGTCATTAGTTAAGTGCAAGATTGCCCGAACATAGCACGGCGCAATCACATCTCGAAGCAATGCAATATTCCACTGAGCTCGTAGCAGCCCCTCCCCGCTTAGGCCTTCGCCAAACCAAATGTCGCGACGATTTGATGAAAGCTCAAAGTACCCGTTAACCTAAGGAAAATAACCAACTAGTCGTCAGTGCTTCGTGCTTGCGTATGCATAATGTATAATCCAGAAAAGTGGTACTCACATGCACAGGCAAGTACGTATGTGTTGGCAATGGCAAGAAGCAAAAAGCCAGGCCAGAGGTAGTAGCACAACTCTCAGAATCAACAGCGGTTGAAACAGCTACTCCACCCCATGGGACTAGACGCTGGTCGACATTGGCTGGATTGCAAGCAATTTTTGAGCATTCCCCACCCCCAAGCTGATTCATAATCAAGTACTCGTACTCCTTTGACAAGTTTGCGGTACAATCACGAGCTACAATTTTCAATGGATAGTCGCAGAAGATTCCTGAATGAATGGTGCGACAGATGTCAGCACATGTACGTCATCGGTAACACAAAGGATAGTAGCAACCTTCAGTAGTGAACTTCTGGGTAGGTTGACCAGACGAGGCCAATGTAGCGTGCTGCAATGACCGTTTCGCCTTGATTTCAGACGTTGTATTGTCAAGCAAAGCTTCCTGCAATATAGTTGGAATTTCTTCACCCACTCTCCACTCCCAAACCGATATTTTGCACACGTTACGCAAAAACAGCAGCACAGTCGGCAAGCTGCACGCAAACTCTTCGAGCATCTCGGCCATCTGTGCAGGCGTTTGAGCGCGATCAGAGAGCTTGCTCCGCTGAGCTTGCTCTATCGTTCGAAGCGCAAGGCGAAAAATTGTTCCCTTCAAGCAAAAGAGGTAGTGGTCAAGTGGTGTTGGAAGCGTCAAGATCAAAAGAACATGCCTACCGAGAATGGCTCGGCAAAATTACACCCAAAACATTGGAACGGAGAAATCTGGTCAGGAAAATTATTCACAAGATCAGGGTGCGCTATGTAGTCGATTATTTTTCCCGGGTTGCTTGGGTTAACATTTGGCAAGTGACAAGCCTAAAGATTGTTGGCATATAATCAAACGGAAGCGAGTGCATTAGTTTGATATGTTTTGTCTTGGTGAACTGTTATAATGTAACGCAACACGTCGCACTGACGCACCTGAGGGTCAAAGAAAACCAACTGCGAACCACTAACAAACGAGGGTAGATCGGTCACGTGATAAACTAATGCGTAGCAACACAATCGATACATGACCACAGTGTGACCAACGTCATTATTTTTCTTACATATATCAAGACATTGTCGATTCCCCCAAAGCAGTAAATCTGGACGTACCGGAATTAAAACCAACACCAAAGCGTCCAGTCTTCCATCCTTTCGAGTTGTCCTTCTTTAAAGAGTCTCCAATACGCTACAACATAACATATCAATTATGATCCTTACTTCATGAAACAAAGTTGTTGTTGTTATAGTAACAGTTCAGTTCTACTCTACCTGTATTGATTGGAAGTCGGCATCAGTGAATGTGGCGTTATTGTGCACCAAAAGGGACGGACCTAACAGGAAGTTAAACCCCACGCCAGCCATCACAGCAATACAATAAGCTTCGTTGGTATACTGGACGACAACAACTTGAATGTGGTCTAAAAAATGTCTTCAACTGACCCTGAAACGACCCAAGCTTTTCGTACGCAAGCTCTGTAGTTGCATGCTGACGATAATCCAGACACAAATTCACTTCTGTTGCCCCTGCATCATCGGCATTCTGTACCATTTCCTTGAAGATTGATGTACCCTCTGCATATACAAAAAAAGAGTCACCACCACATTAAGAAAAAAAGACGTCGATTGTGTTAGTTCTTTTATTATAGTGTATCCTCTCTCTATTTACTAGAAAAGGAATGCAAGTACAACATACCAGGATAATTGCGTAGAATCTCACGAATACGGACCGTCAGATCGATCTTCTGTCCAAAATCATCGCCAAAATACATGTCTGGGTTCACCATATCGACCTGTGCGTTTCTTAGGATTTGTATTTGTCTTGTTTTTATTTTGTCATATGGATACAGTTGATTCTGATTGGGTATATATTATGTATATGTGTCAAAATACACGTTCAAACTAGCTTGTCATTGGTATAAAATCTTTACAGAATGTTTCTATGTCCACTGTTCTGTTAGTGTAATCATAATGAATATGCATGTGGTGGCTAAAACCAAGTGCAAAGCGCTTGTGTTGATTGTTCTATCAATCCACCGTCAGTGCTCACGGATCCACATGTAACTCTACTGCTACTGAGCTAACAATTGCATCGTTCTTGTTAGTATTCTGGTGGATTTTTGACAATGGTATCGTTAATCCGACCCACTCCTCGGCCTTGGCTCTAAGTGTAAATGCTGTTATAATTCCTCTGAACCCTGTTATTGACGTCAGAATAGTAGCAATACCGCATGTAGTTCTCTTATCGGTCAGCTATGCCATGCTTGAAAAAGACGACGAAAAAAGCGGTAGCATTCGCTCATGTTGTGCTCAGCACACTGATCCAAGGGTCTAAGGAGGTGCTTTGCGCCACAGAAACCACGTTTTCGAATTCAGCGACAATCATTGGGCGGTCAATGGTCACCATATACCAGTGATAGTGCATCTTGCAAAATGAAAATGATCTAGTAAAAGTCAGTGAATGCTGATTGTGAGAGATAAAAAACAAACACGGTCGTTCACGGCCAACTTTTCCAATCTCTTCCACCCACACGGATCGTTTTCGAGCAGCCAACGTCTGTTACTATCGTGAAACACATTAAACGTATCACATACTTGCATTATTACAGAAACGTGTGGGGGGCCACATTACGACACTGGATTGGTATTGAAGTTTCTTTCATGGACACGGGTACTAAATTTCCACGCATTCGCACTCATCTTGTCAAATTGCAGCTACTTTTGACAGTCGATCGTGTCATACACCACGTGGATGAGGCTTTGTATTATCAGGCCAGCATAGGAAGATGCGCGGTGGATCGACCGGTGATTACGACTGAAAGATATCTAGCAAACCAAACTTATTGTTACTTCACAAAACTCGATTATGTGGTTGTTCGTACTTGGTGTAGGTTACATGATCAAATTAAGATGCCCCATTATGTTTTCAACGTCCATTTGAAAATTGGTGGCCATAGTTTATGTAACCATTTACCATTTTGATTACGTAAGCTGTAGCTATAGGAAGCTCTATTCTGCACGATCTTTTTTTTGTCAAATCAGCGGCTGCCAGCATGAAGGACCCTAAAATACGGTTCAATTGGTTCTCCAATCATAGCTCGATGAGATCTTCTTCGAGAAAATCGCTTTTTTTGTTCCTTAACGTTTATCTTGATCTTTGTATGCCCCATCCTAGCCCTTTTTCCCGCCATCCGCTGCTGCTTACCTCACATTTGGATGCCAATCCTCTGAAGTAAGCTGAGCACTGCGCACCAAAAACATTCATTCTTGCATACAAACGACACAACAAAACCAACATTCCGTCGCGGCGGTTGTCAGCATGGGTTCAAACGACAGACGAGCTTTGGCCGCACCCACGCTTGAGCCAAGCCGGTGCCCACGCGCCTACAGATGCCATGGCTACACCACACGGTCTAAAGCGTGCATTAGTTGACGTGCAGTCCTGCTTACCATGTGACAAGAAGTCGAAGCACGAGGACGACGAGGGCACGACAACGAGCGATGATACAGAGGAGAGTGAGACTGTTGTGATTCGTAGACAGCGACGTCCTGCTGTGAGAAGCAGTAGTCATTGCAGTGCCGTGTTATCACCTCTGAATACCGCATCGGCTGAACAGATTCGGCAGCACCTTCGCGATGTGCGGCGTGAGTTGTTTCTGCGGCCGCTGCTGGCTACTGTTTCTAAGCTTATGTTTCACAAGGGAAATCACGGCTTCTTTAACGTGCGGGTGGATCCCGTCGTGTGGAATATTCCGCATTACTTTGAAGTCGTGAAGCAACCAATGGATTTAGCAATTGTAAAGAACAAGTGTCTAAATCTCGAGTATGCGACAGCAGATGAGTGTGCAGATGAGATTCGACTTGTTTTTCATAACGCGTGTCTATTTAATCCACCGGGACATATTGTGCACGAGTCAGCGGCAATGTTACTAAAAGAGTTTGAGGCGGATTATACCAAGTACAAGGCCAAGGCAGAAGCTATGGTCAAGCGACGTAAAGAGCATTCTTGTCCATTTTGTCTGGACAATGTGTGCGGTATTTGTGACGAGAAGTGCATTAATTTTGAGCCACCGTTTGTCGTATGTTCGGGCGCATGTCACCAACGCATTAAACGCCATGCAGTGTACTACAAGAGCCCAGATGGACAGTATCACTGGTGCACCAAGTGCTTTACATCGCTGCCGAAGGTGCTAACGTTAAAGACAGTTTCTTCCTCGCCATCCGATCCGGAGCCCACGACGTCGATTGCGGCAGAACATACTATGTCCAAGCTTGGGCTACTAAAGGCTAAATTTACAGATGAGCTCACGGAGCCATGGGTGCAGTGTGATCGATGCAACGGATGGGTACATCAGATCTGCGCCTTGTTCAACGCTTGTGAGAACGCAGATGAAGAGGGCGATGTGATGTACACGTGCCCGCTCTGTCGTCTACAGGAGCTTGATGCTGAAGAGAAAAACAACGAGCTTGGTATGTCTCCGATCGAAATCTCCGTCGAGAATTTTTCAGTCAAAATGGAAAAAGATTTTCTGCAGTCACACAGCCCTGCGTTGAAGCACAGATTGTACATCAATGATTTTACTCTTGGGTTTGATGAGAGGATTGGAAGCAAGGAGTTTGATTATGCGACGCAAGTAGATTTAGATGTCAAAGACATTAGCACGTCTACAGCTTTTATGAAAAGTAAATGGCTGCGATCGTGTGATTTGTCACGTTTTATGCAGAAGTGGGTGCGGCAGCATTTGGAAGTTCTTGGCGAGCACGAAGCAGCTCAATCTATTGTCGTAAAAGTAGTATCAGCAATCAAGACCTCGTGTCGTGTAAGTTCAGTTGTGCGTGAAAACTTTCGGTCAGCTTCTCAAGAGGTAAGCGTGTTTTTGGCTGAGGTCGAATGGAAGCGTACGCTGACAAAATACTGTGCTAACGTTTTTCAGTACCCACAAACAATCAACTACACTTCAAAGGCCATTTTTGTCTTTCAGATGATTAACGGTGTGGAAGCCTGCATTTTTTCAATGTGAGATGCCTTGCCTTCATATGCACCGCGTTACTGCATGTGTAAAGTAGCTTGTATGAAAACTGACTTTGCTGGTGCTATATCAGGTATGTTCAGGAGTATGATAAGCACTGCGAGTTGCCCACCAACCGTAAGCGGACGTACATTGCATACCTGGATAGTTTGGTGTACATGCGCCCGCGCCACGTGCGAACGAGCCTATTTCACCAGATTCTCATCTCATACTTGGCTTCCTGTAAAGATAAAGGGTTTGAATACGCGCACATTTGGGCATGTCCTACAACCCGTGGAGGCGATTTTATTTATTGGTGCCATCCTTCTTTTCAGAAGAACCCTGGCAAGGAGCGCCTTCTTCAGTGGTACCTAAGCATGGCCAAAAAGGCAAAGGACCTTGGCGTCGTCTATGAATGTGACGACTTGTTCGCTCGTGAGTTTGAGATGCTGGAAGACACCCTTGACACTCATCTTCCTCCCTATTTTGATGGCGACTACTGGCCTGGTGAAGCTGAGCGACTTGCCGCCTCGCCTCCGAAGAGAGGAAGAAAAGAAGTGAATACAGCGAGCGCGTGCAGCGCGAGGTTTCGCAAGCGAGTGGGTGAGTCGGTGAAGGCGGCTCGCGAATCGCTGTTTGTCATCGCCTTGCAACCAACTTGCGCTGCCTGTAAGCAGCTGATAGTTAATGCTGCTTATTGGCGAGCGATCATAAGAGAGGCTGTACACGCTTACTACTGCGCTGAATGCCAAGCAACAGCAGCAGCAATAGCCGTTCATGGGCAGGTGGCGTCACTTACCGAAATGACCCCACCCAATTTTGCGGAAGCACGCAGCAATAGGGAGACGGAAGAAGTAGACATATCTTGCCCGTTCCTTGACTATCGTCCAAACATGCTAAAGAATTGCGAAGAGCGCCACTACCAGTTCGACAGCTTTCGCCGTGCAAAGTACTCGACAATGATGCTCATTTATCAGATCTCCTCGACGCAGCGTTCTGCTCAATAAGCTCTTGTGTCAATCTTCCGAGACTTCATTAGTATTTGTAAACAAGAAGAAAAACAGAAAATAGATGGCAATCGATGTCTGCGTGAAAGACCAGCTTTGTAGAATTCGCATTCAGTTTGGCTTGTATCAGTCGGCGCATACGGCACCACTCGCTGTCATCAAACTTGTCACTGAAACGGAATGGGAAGTGATGCCATATCCGCTTTTAAGTCACGTGTGAGATTCTCAGCGTCGAGCCAACTCTCGTACTGTTTGCAAAAGTTGGCTGGGTCTAGCTTAATGCTGCTGTACATTCTTGCCAAGCGTCCACCATCTAAGATAAACGAGTCCGAGCTGAGCTCCTTGCGGTCTTCGCAAATCAACGAAGCTCCACCAGGAAGTGGCTTGATACCTCCAAAAGGAGAATCAAAGTAATGTTTGTGGTGATACGCTTGCATCTCACCAAAAATAATCCTCTCCACCGAATCCTGCGACGGAGGCTTGTTTAAGTCCTCATCTTCGTAGTGCAACCAGTCGTCATCTAATTCCGGTCGTACGTACAAATACACATCCGTGAGCATGTTGAAACACGTGTACTTCTTTACCCACTGCATGCAAAAGCCACAAGAGCGAGGGTTGTTAACTTGCGCTGAGAAATTACAATGCCCAAGGCAAAATGCACAAGATGTTTCACTAGTGAAAACCACAAACAGTGCAAGGGAACGAACCTGATGGCCTAAATACTTCGCCTGCGATTTCACCAATTTCAAAGCATACAGGCGTGGCAATGGAATCTTCAGAGCCGCCACACGCTGTTTGCATAAAGCCCAACCAACACGATCACGGTACGTACAGGATAAGTGCCAGCCTAAAGTACATGCCACAAAGCAACACAACGTCTAGCGTACCTTTAACCAGACTATCGTCTGCCCTCGACATAGAGCATTTTTGATAATATTAGGCTTTCTTTTCGTCAGTTTCTGCAGAATCCTCAGTATGGTCGTAATCGTCCGTGTAGATTGGATAGCGTATTCATTCATGTCTTCCTCAAAGCGGATAGTGTGTTTGTCCAGCTCCTTCTCAAGCGCAAAGAATCCCATCTTAGACTCGTCTGATTCTTGACGAGACACTTGCAGATATGTGCTAATATCCTTGTTCATGAATTTGGTTAGCGTTGCCAGCACGTTAGCCTCGAGGAAAAACTGCATGAAGTATTCCGCCTTGCACGCATGGCTTGCCCGAAAGTGCTTGTAAACGAGCAAGATAATCAGATTTGATACATCCAGAACGATTGTCTTCTCGCGGAGAATCCACTTCCAAAACAAATTATCGTTGCTGTTCTCGCCGCCGGGTGCAGAGAAATCTGCCATGTTGTATTGGTCAGCACCAGACGGTCTCCGAGAGTAGAAAGTCTTCTTATCACGCGCATTCAGTGCGCTTCCGCAAGACAGTGTCACAAGGTTACCAAGGAAGGTAGTATAGTCCCGCATACAGGGCAAGAAAAGTTGGTACAAGGTTTCGATACGCACTTCCCATTCGTCATCAAGGGCCTCCAGCGGTTTCGTAGCCAGATCAGCACTATCAGACTGCTGGCATTTCAGCTCATAGTTTGCTTTATGCAAGTACTTGTTGTGAATTGCCTCACGCTTCTTTGAAAACTTCTTTTTTGCAGGTAGTACGGGTCCTGCGTATCGAGTTGGATCGTATCATAATACGGCTTGAACGTCTTGCAATGTAGCACGCCTTCTGCATCATCTTTCAAAATCGACGGATCAATGTCACTACGTGCACGACGCAGTCGCTTCAGTGCAGTAAGATCGTGAAAGCTGCCCAAAACAGCAGAAAACCACTCGTAGAATAGCAAAAGTAGTCTCTTGATTGGAAAACCAGGCAGTACATTCAGCTGACTCAGACAGTCGAGAATCGACACCAGGGAGTACGAAGGGTCCATGATACCAACCATCATAAGCTGGCGGTCAAATACAACGTTCTTCTTGTGCGAGTTAAACACAATCAGCAAGTACAGCAGCACCATATCTTGCTGCAAGTCGTTAATGAGTGCGTCTACTTGATCCATATTCAAATGCTGAAAGTTCAGTCCACGAAAGGCATGAATTGAGCGCTGCAGACGCTCGGTAAACACTGAAAGGGCACCGCATTCCTGCAGCAGCTCATTATTTGCTCGAGCTACTTCTAACTGTGCCAAGACGCCCCCACGACCAGATGAGACGACACTACTGCTTGATACCGTACGTATCGTTCCCTCTGATAACAGCAGTAGCTCACGCTTAGCTCGATAGCTTTTGTCCAGCGTGCGCACGGTCACGGCCGAGGTGTTCTCTGTTTGGTTTAGTAAAATACACACGCGCTCACGAGACTTACGACGAGACGTCATTATCTTCTCCCACAGTCGTACGGCATCACCATCTACTTCAGGGTCAATAGATTCTTCATGTACATACGAGCAGTAAAAGTACGCTAGCTTCTCGTGGAGCGACAGCCCCTGGAGCCGCTCCATGACCTTTGCTACGGTCGAACGACAGTATTTTTCCTTTTTTTATTGCAAGTAGTAAAATAAAAGCGTCATGTGCCACACCATGTTTACATGGTAAAATAAATTTTAATACATTCCCTCAACACGCAACCAAAAACCATGTTCTATTGTTATTTTCTTACTCCACAAATCTCTTGGAATATAGAATTATGGAATGCAATGTCGCTCGAGTCGACGCGCCATCGTCGACACCCTCTGCGCCAACAATTGACGCGTTAGGATCAATAAGGCTTTAGTGCGCATGAACGTTGCTCGCAGCAAAAAATGTGCCATAAAACGCATCGGACCTTTACTACATTGGTGCTACATGTACTACTTCATACACGTTGTGAGCAATACTAACAACGCTCGCGTGACGAGAACTTGCTACATGGCAATGCCAATGACATGCATACAAATAGTGTCACTGGGAGGTACAACGCACAGAGGGACGGGATCGTCGCGTGCGATTCCATAGACCAGCGTGCAACTCTGTATCCTGGCGAGCACAGGCGTACCCCGCGAAAAGTGGTCTCGTGGCGAGAAGTCACTCGTGTCAACCTCAGCCGTAATGACGGAACTCCGCGGGGTTTCTATTTTAACAGGCAAATCGCAACAGCAACACACTTTAGAACAAACGTGCGGGGGCGATCGTTACCTGACAGCTTCTCTGTCACAGCCTGTCACGAATGACGCACGGCCTTTAAACGACAAAACAGGCAGCATGCACTCTAGGTTGCTGCAAAGACTATCCACCTCTTTTGGCACTGCCAAATTGATCGCAATATGGATACACCCAATGTCATCACATCATGCAATGATGATCACATGTCATCGAGCGTTCAAGTTCTCCTACGCCCGTGCTGTATCTTTGCAAGTTGACTCGAGGGCAAATAGCGCTGTGACGATTTTGTGTGTAAGAAGGTGGTGCAAAGATAGCCATGGTCGCTTGTATTTTCGATGCTTCAATGCAGCTGCACGTGCAATATCGGCACAGTTGTTCTTGTGGGTCTTATTTCCCTCTGCCATCATTCTTTTGGAGAGTGTTTTCGGTTGAAGCAAGGGAGGGGTGTGCTAGTTGTTGAGTAAGACCAGCCGATATAAACAACGAGTGGCAAGTGACGTCGATGAGATAGGGGACGACGGCTGAAGCTCGTCACGACCCCTAGCCCACTACTCGATCAATGACAGGCCAATTCTCTGGTGCGCGTCAGCAGATCGCAAAATATGTATTTTTTCTGTCTGTATCGGCATAGTGTAGGCAAAGGAATTCGACAGGTCCGTATGAATCAGTCCTCACCATTGAAGTATTTCGTTGTCTTTCATAGCTCATTCGTCCATATACTTGTAGGAAGAAACAAGAAGCAAAGAAGACACATAGAGCTCTAGATCATAACATTAGACGCTATCTCTTCGGTTCTTTACTACAAATTGAGACAAAAACCACTGATTCTTCACCATGACCGAGCCGATGAAAAGTCACACAACTACAACGATAACGAAGGAGGGCGACTACACGAAGACAGTCGTGACAACTACGATAACCGAGGAGAAAATGAATATGTTCACGCTGGCAAGCGCAATAGATGCTGGTAAGTATACGTTTATTCCGGAATTTGGTGGCCAGGGCATCTCCTACTGGACGGAGTTGCAACAACTCTATGCCTCGTCCGAGACCAACACGATACGCAAGTTCATTGATGCTGCCGCGCAGGCGCTGTTAGAGGAGTCTAGTACGGAAGAGGCTAAGGCCTCGATCGCCTATGAGACAACTATCGACGTGCACAGTTGGCTGCAGAGCCTTGAGATTGGTGTCGCACCGGCTGACTTGGCTTTGGATCGTGTCTTCTTTAGTATGCCATTGCTGGTGCTTACGCAATGCGCAAATTACCTTAATTTCCTTGAGATCGCGGGCGTGACCCATGAGAGTGTGGTCAAGAGGTCCACGACGGCCGTAGGCCACAGCCAGGGTGTGGTGAGTGCCGTCGTCTTTTCAGTGGCCAAAACGGCCGAGGAGTTTGTCGAGATTGGTATCTCCGTCCTGCGTTATATGTTCTGGCAGGGACTACGCGCGCAGGAGGCATACCAAGAGCTTCTGATGCAGCACAAGCAGGGTGATAAGAAGATTGAGAACGCTGGTCCAATGCTGGCCGTACGGGGGCTCAAGAAGGAGCACGTTCTCAAGGCCATTAAAGCTACTTCCCGCCGGACCAAGACGCCCGACCTTCAGTTATCTCTCATCAATGCACCGGACATGATGAATGTCACAGGCTTTCCCACGACACTAGTGCTGCTAAAGCAGGCGCTCGAGGGCATGTTCGCCGAACCAAACGCTAGCCAGACACGTACTCCACATTCGCAGCGGAAACCCACGGGTTCGCTCTCGTTCTTGCCGCTTTCAGCTCCGTTCCACACATCGTTGCTGACTGACGCCAAGCCAAAGTTGGTACAGGACGTGCAGCGTGTCAAGTGCGCGATTAAAGGCAGCCAGTTGCAGGTGCCAATATATGCTACCAATACAGAGGCTGTAAACTTGCAGACGGTAGACGACGTAATCGATGAACTTATTAATATGCAGCTTCTGCAGGTGGTAGATTGGACCGCGACGTGGGCAAAGATTGTAAACGACCACTCAGATGCAACACACATTCTCGAGTTTGGCCCGGATCTTGGTGTGGCGAAGCTGAGTGACAAGTATGCGGAAGGATCAGGTATTGGAGTTGTTATTGCGACTGCGAAGCACCCGACTGTGACCTTGTCAACAAACAGCGCTCCTCTTGTCGGCCTGCAGCAGTTCATTAATACTACGCCGACGTTCACTCCAGTCAAGATGACTTGGGCAAAGAAGTTTAGTCCGCAGGTGACCAAGTCCGGCAAGCTTTGTAATCGGTTTACACGCGTGCTCAACAAACCGCCGGTTATGGTGGCAGGAATGACACCAACCACCAGCCTGGAGGGCATCGACCTTGTTGCGGCCATCCAGAACGCCGGATTCCATGGCGAGCTAGCAGCAGGCGGTTTGTCGCGCCCTAACATCTTTGAAGACGCGGTAAACAAGCTTGTGTCAAAGATCAAGCCCGGCCTTGGCATTGCAATCAACATGCTGTACCTAAACGCGAAGCAATGGGGCTTTCAGTTCCCGATGGTGCTCCGAATGCGTCGTAGTGGTATGCCTATCGAGAGTATCACGATCGGTGCAGGTATCCCGACGATGGAGCGTGCGCTTGAAATAATGTCGCAGCTAAAGGCCGTCGGCATCAAATTGGTGTGCTTCAAGCCGGGTTCGGCGGACGGTATTCGCGCCGTGTTGGAGATTGCTGTGGCGATGCCAAGTATGAACGTGATGGTGCAGTGGACCGGCGGCCGCGCTGGTGGCCACCACAGCTTCGAAGACTTCCATCAACCGCTGGAGGAGACGTACGCCGCGATACGTCGTGTTCCGAACGTGCTGTTAGTTGTCGGCTCTGGTTTCGGTAATTGGGAGGATTCAAAGCAGTACATCACGGGCGAATGGAGTCTAGCTCGCGGCCACCTGCACAAGATGCCTTCAGATGGTATTTTATTGGGCTCTCGCGTCATGGTTGCGAAGGAGGCTGCAACTGCACCGGATGTGAAGAAGCTGCTTGTTGACACACCTGGTATTGATTCGGAGCTAGATTGGGAAATGAGCTACACGGGTGTTGTGGGTGGCGTGGTCACGGTCACGTCAGAGCTGGGCGAGCCCATCCACGTGGTGGCAAACCGCTGCGGTGTAATGTGGAAGGAATTTGACGATAAATACTTTTCTATTCCGCGCGAGCAGGTAGAGTTGGCCCTTCGTCTTAACAAGAAAGATATCATTACTCGTCTTAACGCGGACTATCAGAAGCCATACTTTGGCTGCAAGCGCGATGCTGTGACTGGCAAGACTGTTCCGGCTGATCTGGAGGAGATGTCGTATGGCGACGTTTTGGCGCGTATGGTCGACTTGATGTACGTGGAGGTCGAAGGCAAGCCACACCGTTGGGTGCACGGGACTTTTTTCTCGCGTGTGAGCAAGTTTATCACACGTACAGAGGAGCGTTTCCGCCGCGACGTCACTGGTGACCTGTTTGATCAGTCAGAGCTGAAGACGAATCCGAGGAATGCGGTGAGCGCGTTTATCACGAAGTACCCACGGACTGTGTCAACGCTGATGTCCATCCCAGACTGTGATTTCTTCCTGGAGCTCTGCCGCACAGGTGGTAAGCCTGTGAACTTTGTGCCTGTGATCGACACTGAGTTCAAGACGTGGTACAAGAAGGATTCGTTATGGTATTCTGAGGATTTGGATGCCGTTCCTGAACACGATGCGCAGCGTGTGTTCATCCTTCAGGGTCCTGTGGCTGTTCGCTACAGCACAATAGTGGATGAGCCTGTGGCGGACATCCTGGGTGGTATTGCAGCTGGCTTTGCTAACATTGTGAAGGAAAGCGGTGCGATTGCTGCTGTGGCATCTACACATGCTAAGCAGCCTGTGGCTATCGCCGGCGTCGAGGTCACGGTAAACAAAGGCAGCGTGGAATTGTCGATCCCCATCGAAGAAAGTGCCATGCCGTCTGCTGACGAGTGGCTCGCTGCTCTTGCCTCGTTCGTGAACGACAAGGACTGGCTGAACGCGCTTATTTCGTCGCCACAAGTTGTCGAGGAGAAAAAGTGGCTTGAAAACCCTGTCAGACAGCTACTCGTCCCCCAGGCTGGTCAGAAGTATGTGATTGACGATGCAGGAGTGCGCATTTTCGACAGTTCCATCGACATTTCTGGTCCTGTGATCGAGATCAAAAAGAATGACGCGACCATTGTGGTTATTGTGAATGAAGTGCGCCCGGCGGTAACTGAACTAAAAGTTAGTGTTATAGCGCTGGAGATGGCATTCCAGTACCACCCGGAACTGTCCTGCTCGATTCACGCTGATGGCAGCGGCTTTGTCGATAAGGTGAAGGCTTTCTATGCCCGCTTTTGGGTGGCGATTGATGGCAAGGAGGAGGAGTCGTGTAAGGCTGCATGCATGGAAAGTGTGTTGTCCCCTTTCACAGCTGAATTCTCCATCACGACACAGGACATCGTTGCGTACCGTACTGCACTTGGTCTAGGTAGCGACGAGGTTGGCGCTCCGGTAGACTTTTCAACGATCGTATCGTGGCGCCCGTTGATCCAATCCGTGTTCACAAAAGAGGTGAGGGGAAACCTGCTTGATTTGGTGCATTTGAAGCACTCATACAAGTTGCTCTCCTCGCGTAAGGCATCCGCTATATTTTTGCCAGGCGACGACATCGTGAGCACGTCAAAGGTTGGTAGTCTACGTATTATTGATAGCGGTAAGATTGTGCATGGTGTGGCCATCATTTCCCGCAAAACGGTGAATAAGGAGATGGTAGAGGTGCTAGAACCTCTCGTGGAGCTGCACAGCGAGTTCCTGATCCGTGGCTCCTTTAACGACTTTGAATCAACCTTCTCTATTGAGAAATCGACGGACGAGTTTGTGCCTAGCCGCAAGGAGGACGTGGAGATTCTTAAGGTGAAGCCATGGCTGAAGCTTGCTGCCGACGCATCAGTGAATGTCGGTGACCACCTGGTATTCCACCTAACGACGAAGAAGAAGTACGCTTCAATCGGCTTGCTGAGCTACGTGGAGGTGTCTGGCACGCTATTCCGTGAGGAAGCTGGCTCAAATGTAGAGATCGGCGCGGTTCAATTCACTAGCGATAGTGTGAATGAGAGCCCAGTTGTGGCATTTTTGCGGCAAGCACAACCTAACGATGCCAAGGCTAGCGGCATGTTCGAGAACGGTGGCTCCCACATGCTCGAGAAGCCACTCGAGATCAACGTTCCGACGAACGCTTTGGCGTACGCGGTGGCATCTCGTGATCTGAACCCGATCCATCGCTCCAGGTACGCCGCTATCTTGGGTCATCTTCCGAAAGGTAAGCCGATTATGCACGGTCTGTGGACGGCGACGAAGATGCGTGACCTGGTGATTCAGAGCTTCGGTTTTGGCTTCGACAGTAACGTCGTGGAATACGACGTGAATTTTGATGGTATGGTGTATCCGGGCGACAAGCTGTTCATGCAGGCACGCCACATTGGTCTTGATAATGGCAAAAAGGTCCTGTCTGTTGAGGTTGTGAATGGCTCTGGTGAACGCGTAGTCAGTGCGCGTGCTGTGGTGAAGCAGGCGCCGATGGCGTTTGTCTTCACTGGCCAGGGCTCTGCAGCAGTGGGTATGGGCATGGACCGTTACCAGGAGTCATCAGTGGCCCGTGATATCTGGAACCGTGGCGACCTTCACTTACGCAAGACATTTGGTTTCTCTATACTAGAGATGGTGCGAACGAACCCGAAGTCTATTACAGTGCACTTTGGCGGCAAGAAGGGCCGTGCTATTCGTGAGAAGTACATGAGTTTGACATGCGAAGACCCAGTAACTGGCGAAATTGCACCTCTGTTGCCAGAAATTAATTCTCGTACGCAGAGCTTTAGCTTTTCTGCTCCAGAAGGTTTGTTGTTTGCGACCCAGTTCAGCCAGCCTGCGTTGGTGCTGCTGGAGAAGGCCATGTTTTCTGAAATTGAGACGGCACAACTCATTCCGGACGATGCTCACTTTGCTGGACACTCCCTTGGTGAGTACGCCGGTCTCAGCTCTTTTGCTGGAGCTTTGGCTGTTGAGGATGTCGTGGAAGTTGTGTTTTTGCGTGGATTGATCATGCAAAAAGCTGTGAAGCGCGATGCTGAGGGGCGCTCTGACTACGGCATGGTAGCAATGAATCCCACGCGTGTTGGTCCCCATCTCACTGAAGAAGTCATGTTCAAGATTGTTGATGGTATTGGAGCTGCTTCGAGCAAGCTGCTACAAGTAGTCAATTTCAACATCCAGCAGCGCCAGTACGTCATTGCTGGTGAAAATGTCAATCTGGAGACGCTATCGTTGGCGCTATCTACTTTCAAGACGCTGAAGTCGGCTGACACTGAAGATGTGGAAAAAGTCATTGCTGACTCATTGGCACAAGCTCGTGCCCGCAAGGAGAAGTGCAAACAGACTGGTCGTCCGTTTACACTAACAAAAGGCCTGGCGACGATCCCGCTCGTGGGCATCGACGTGCCTTTCCACTCGTGTGAGCTGCTTGGTGGCGTGCCTTCGTTCCGTGCGCTTCTGCGGACCAAGTTCGACCCACACGTACTTGAGCGCCAATTGCCGCTTTTGGTGAACCGCTACATCCCAAACTTAGTGGCTACTCCATTTTCGCTTGAGCGTTCGTACTTTGAAGAGGCTTATGAGGCGACCAAGAGTCCGTATCTTGCGGAGGCTTTGGACCCGATGCAGTGGAAGCTGACGACGAAGGCGCAGCTGGCACATCTGCTTGTGGTGGAGCTGCTGGCGTACCAGTTTGCATCACCTGTCCAGTGGATTAAGACTCAGGCGCTTTTATTCTCGGAGGGTGGCGTTCGCCGCTTTGTGGAGATTGGTCCTGCTCCGACGTTGACGAACATGGCGCTGCGCACACTTGAGGTTGGTGACTTTCCAGACGTGTCGCGTGAGATCTTGTGGTACCAGCGTGATCGTGAAGTTGTACACTTTGAAGAGGAGACGTCGAATATTTCTGCTTCTGAGTACGCTCGTAGCTTGGCTGCAGAGGCTGCCGAAAACGCTGCAGCTGCGTCTGCTTCGACAGTGGAAGCTGTTCCTGCCGCCCCGACCCTGGTTGCCTCTTCCGTTGTCGCTGCTCCTGTTCAGCAGATAGAGATAGTTCCCGTTCAGCAGATGCAGGCTTCTCCGGCTCCTACTCCCGCCGTCGCCGTTCCCGCTGCTGCTGATGCTCCAGTTGCAGCCCTGCACGTGCTTCGTGTGCTTCTTGCCGTGCGCTTAAACAAGAACTTGGCTGATATTAAGGAAGAGACGGACGTGAAGACGCTATGTGCTGGAAAATCCGCTGTCCAGAACGAGATTCTGGGTGATCTCGAGAAGGAGTTTGGTGGAGGTGTGTCGGAAGGTGCTGGTGAAGTTCCGCTGAAGGAGCTTGCGTCAAAGTTCTCAGGCTATAACACTCTCGGTAAGGTGACAAACGGCCTAATCAATAAGGTGGTGGCAAGCAAGATGCCTGGCGGCTTCACGATGTCGAGCATCAAGGACTACCTTAGCGCTGAGAAGGGCTTGGGCGCTGGTCGCATGGAGAGCGTTCTGGCACACTCACTGCTCCTTGCCCCACAGGCTCGTTTCAAGAACGATGCAGACGCGCGTAAGTGGCTGGACGACAGTGTGGGCGGATATGCCTCGTTTGCTGGTATCACTCTTGACGGTCCTATGATGGCTGCTACGCCGGGCGCGGCGGGCATGTTCTTGAACCCTGCTCCGGTGTCGATTCCGACGGTAAGTGATAAGCCTGTGGAAGCGAAGCACGCTCTGTTGGTGATGCTCGCGGCGAAGTTCGGCAAGACCCTTAGCGAGGTTTCGGAAACGGCGACTATCAAGGAACTGTGTGCTGGTAAGTCGGCTGTGCAAAACGAGATCGTTGGCGATCTGGAGAAGGAGTTTGGCTCTGGCCCTGACGATGCGGCAGAAATGAAACTGGTTGAGCTGGCGGGTAACTTCCCCGACTACGCGTCCCCAGGTAAGGTAACCAGCGCTCTGATTGCTAAGATGCTGGCGAGCAAAATGCCTGGTGGGTTTGGTTTGTCGGCTATCAAGGAGTATTTGTCTAACGAGCGCTGCCTGCCGAGCGGTCGCATCGAAAGTGTGCTACTACACGGCCTGACGCAGAATCCGAAGCAGCGTCTTGGTGATGATGGTACGGCGAAGAAGTGGCTGGATGGCGTTGTGGATGACTATGCAAAGCTCGCTGGAATTGACATTCCTTATGCGTCGAAGCTGGGAGGCGGAATGGCCGGCCCAGCAATGGGCCAGCAGATGATGCGGTCTAGCTCTTTGCCGAGCGACTTCGAGAAGCGTTTGAAGACTATGATTGCAGACCAGATTGATGCTCTGAACTCGTACCTGGGTGATGACCAACTTGACTGGCATCGCAAGATCGAAACGGAAGTTGATATGCGTGAGGAGCTTGAGTTGTCAGTTACTAAGTGGGTGGCGGAACACGGCGAGTTCTACGGTGCTGGGATTGTAGGCAAGTTTGATGCTAAGAAGGAGCGCCAGTACGACAGCTACTGGAACTGGGCCGTCCAGGATGCAATGGAGCTGTACTACCGTACTGCAGCTGCGGCCAAGGGTTTGTCCGTGAGCTCGAAGCTAGCTGTGAGCAAAGGTTTAAGTACGCATTTTGAGGCAATGACTCGCTTTATCAACAAGAGTGTGGACACCATTGCAGATGAGTCGGCACTTCCTCCGCTCGAGTGGTTTAAGCCGTACCTGTGCAATCGTGCTACACCAGAACTTTTGCGATGCACACAGTTCTTCGTGTCGCGGGCTGAAGAAGAAAGTAGTCCTGAGCTTGCTCAGGCGGTCCAACTCCTGGTGGAGCAAATGGAAGAGTGGCTGAGCACAAATCCTGTGAACATGCAGATCTTTAAGCCGACGCAGCCGCAACTTCGCATTCTTGAAAGCGGCGAGCTTGAATATGCTGAGGTGCCTCGCGAAGGCGTGACAGACTCTATCAACTACGTTGACGAGGTTGCTCGCGGGCTTGAGTATAACGATGCGATTGAAACTGGCAAGGTTGCAGGCTCTGATGTTACGGCTGGTATGACTAGTGCTGTTGGATTTGAGTCGACCCTGAACGACAACGGTAGCATGAGTAGTGATGAGCCTGACAGCGACGATGAGTTTGACGAGGAGGATCTGATATCCGACAAGCAAAAGACTAAGGCCAAAAAGGTTACTCCTGCCGAAGGGGCCAAGCTCGATGCACTTCGCGATTCGTTACGTAAGCGCGCAAAGCGGGAATCTGCCAAGTCTTTGTTTGCTCGCTCGTCCTCGTTGCGCTATGGTTTGAATGAGAATCTGAAGCAGATCGTGCTGCCGCACGTGCATATCCGCAAACCTTCTGATGTAGACCCGACGATCCGTCTGTACGATGTCGAGTCGACCTGTGTTCTGTTGTCATGCATGCGTGAAATGGCCACGACGGGCATTTCGTTTGCTGGCAAGGTGGCGTTACTAACTGGTTGCGGCAAGAACTCTATTGGTGCAGAGATCGTAAAGGCGCTTCTGGAAGGTGGTGCTACTGTGTTTGTGACGACGAGTAGTTTCGGTATGAAAACGACTACTTTGTTTCGTGAGATCTATGAGCAGCATGGTAGCCGCGGCAGCCGTCTCATTGTTCTACCGTTCAACCAGGCATCGAAGATGGACGTGCAGAACCTGGTGACACACATTTACAACGTGCACAAGCTGGATCTAGACTTTGTAATTCCGTTTGCGGCTCTATCAGAGGTTGGACGCACGATCACGGACATCGATTCGCGTTCGGAGCTGGCCCACCGTATCATGCTGACGAACACAATGCGTTTGTTGGGTGAGGTTGTCACGGCGAAGAAGGCTCGTGACATCACCACTCGCCCTGCATTAGTTATCTTACCAATGTCGCCAAACCACGGTAACTTTGGCGGAGATGGTCTTTACGCAGAGTCAAAGCTGGGCGTGGAGAGTCTGATGGGCAAATGGCACTCGGAGGGATGGGATGATCAGCTTTCGATTGTTGGTGCCATCATCGGCTGGACCCGAGGCACGGGTCTCATGTCAGGTAATAACGTAGTGGCTGCCGGTGTGGAGAAGATGGGAATGCGCACATTCAGTACGACGGAAATGGGCTTCAATCTGAGCGCGCTCATGCACCCTAGCATTGTGGATCGTGCGGCCGAGACGCCGATTTTCGCAGACCTTACTGGTGGTATGGCTCAAGTGAGCGACCTTAAAGACCAAGTAGACGAAATTCGATCGGATATCATGAAGAAGTCGAAGCTGCAGGCTTCTATTTATGCTGCGCTGGAGAGTGACAAGAAAATGCTGGCTCTGCCTTCTATGAAATCACAGTTTTCTTCCGGCTCAAAAAGCTTCGCTCCTCGTGCGAACATGTCGAGCTACTACTGCAACTCGTTCCCAAAGCTTTCGGGTGTGGCAGAGCTGTCATCCTCGGCGAAGCAAGCGATGTTACGTGGCATGCTGGATCTGCGCCAGGTCGTCGTCGTGACTGGTTTTGGTGAGGTAAGCCCGTGGGGAAACTCGCGTACGCGCTGGGAGATGGAGTCATACGGCGAGTTTTCGCTGGAAGGCTGTATTGAGCTAGCGTGGCTGACGGGCCGCATCCTGTTTGAGAAGGGCAACTGGGTGGATGCCAAGACAAAGAAGATCGTGCCTGATCATCAGGTGAAGCCTCGCTATGAGGAGGATATCATAAACCATTCGGGTATCCGCATCGTGGAGCCAGAGCTGTTTGACGGCTATGACCCGAAGAACAAAGTAGTGCTACACCAGGTGGCCATCGACAAGAAGATGTCGCCGATTGAGGTAGCTGACCGCGAGGAGGCGCTCCAGTTCCGCAAGGAACTGGGCAAGGAGAACGTAGACGTGTTCCAAAACGCGTCTGGCGCTTGGATGATCCGTCTGCGCAAGGGATCTATTTTGAACATTCCTCGTGCTCTCAACTTTGATCGCTTTGTGGCTGGTCAAATTCCGACGGGCTGGAGTGCCGAGCGCCTTGGCCTATCTAAAGACTTGGCCGATGCTGTGGATCCAATTACGCTGTATGTGCTCGCGTCGACGATGGACGCATTCGTTGCAGCCGGTGTGACGGATCCGTACGAGTTCTATCAGTACGTGCACGTTTCGGAGATTGGCAACACGTCCGGTGGCGGAATGGGTGGTATGCGTGCGTTCAAGCAGATTTACCGGGAGCGCTTTTTGGGCAAGACGGCTCCAAGTGATGCGTTGCAAGAATGCTTCATTAATACGCCTCCTGCCTGGGTAAACATGTTGCTGCTGAGTTCGTCCGGCCCGATCAAGACCCCTGTTGGTGCTTGCGCCACGGCTGCTGAATCTGTGGACATCGGTGCTGAGACAATCAAGAGTGGCAAGGCTCGTATTTGTATCGTTGGTGGCTATGATGATTTTGGCGAAGAAGGCGCGTACGAGTTTGCACAGATGCAAGCTACAAGTAACTCGGTAGAGGAGGTCGGTATGGGCCGTGAACCGAAGGAGATGTGTCGCCCGTGCTCGACCACGCGAGGGGGATTTATGGAGAGTCATGGTGCGGGTATGCAGCTGCTGATGGATGCACAGCTTGCGCTGGAAATGGGCCTGCCAATTTATGGCATCGTCGCGCTCACGAATACCGCGACGGACAAGAACGGTCGATCGGTACCAGCTCCTGGTCAGGGCATTCTGACGACGGCTCGTGAGTCCTTGCCGGACAATTCGAAGCCGTCGCCACTGCTTGACGTAGAGTATCGTCGCCGCCAGTTCGACGATGAGTTGGAAAGTATCGAGAAGTGGTATGCGCGTGAGAAATCTTTGATAGATGAAGATGAGTCTCGTGTTGCTTTTTTGAATGAGATGAAGTTGCGTAAGGTGCAATGTGCACAGTCCATGTGGGGAGACAGCTTTTATCGAGGCCGTACAGACATTGCTCCTCTTCGTGGTGCGCTGAGCGCGTGGAACCTTGACATTGATGACGTGGGCGCGACGAGCTTCCACGGTACAGGTACCAAGGCCAACGACAAGAATGAGAGCGAAGTGACGCATAAGCAAATGGCCCACCTGGGTCGCTCGACGGGTAACCCGCTACCTGTGATTTGCCAAAAGAATTTAACAGGTCATCCAAAGGGTGCTGCGGCTGCGTGGATGCTCAACGGCCTGTTACAGGTGCTGAACACGGGTTTGATCCCTGGTAACCGTCAGCTTGATAACACATGCCAGACCTTGCGTACGTATGACCACCTCGTGTACCCGAACCGTAGTTACCAGACCGTGGGCGTCAAGGCTGTAATAATGAAGAGTTTTGGCTTTGGTCAGGCCGGTGGCGAAGTGCTGCTGGTGCACCCGGACTACCTTCTTTCTACACTCTCTGCTGCCGATTTCCAGCACTATTCGGCTCGTCGCGAAAAGCGCCTGATTAAGATGAATACGCACGCCCAGAGTGTACTCACAAGCAAGCAGTTGCATATTCAGGTAAAGAATGAGGCGCCTTACTCTTTGGCTCAGGAGAGCAACGTGTACTTGGACCCAACTGCTCGTGCCGAGTACGACGCGGCGTCGCACACGTGGCGATTTGGCGGTGCGGACTCGCTTACTGCAGAGGAGAGTCGCCGCATGCGTGCTGAAAAGCGCGCGAAGAAGGCAAAGGCTGCTGTGGAAGCTGCAGCATCGTCGTTAAAGAGAACTTCGCACGCGCATCAGACTGACTCGTCGTCGACGCTGTTGACTGCCATCAACCAAGCAGCGACTGACCTGGGTTTGGTGTCGAAGAACATGGGCATGGGCGTGGACGTGGAGCCTGTGGCTACATTCGAGAATCTAAACGGCCGCGAGGACTTTATCCGACGCAACTTCACGGACCAGGAGATGGCATATTGCTACAGCTCGCCTCACCCGGCAGCAAGCTTTGCAGGTCGCTGGGCTGCCAAAGAAGCGGTGATCAAGGCTATCTCGAGTTCCACGCCTACGGAGCCTAACCTTTGGAAAGGCGCCGGTGCCCCGCTGCGTGAGATTGAGATTTTCATGACTGCATCCGGCGCTCCGTCCGTGCTGCTTTCAGGCTACCCGCTGCAAGTGTTTAATCGCCTTGGATTGTCGAAGTTGAGCGTGTCTATTAGTCACTCGGGTGACTTTGCTGTCTCACAGGCGGTGGCCAACTTTCAGCATGAGTAAGCTGTTATTAGTTTTACATTTGCACCTGAATGACTATCATCCACTACGTTCTGTTAAAACGTCAGTTTGAATGGTTTGCTTTGACGCTCTAAGTCGTTCATGGTTGTTTCAAGGCTAGGATAAGCATTTTGTGGCTTAGTAATGCAAATGCAGCAATGCATACCGCTTTCATTACTACCAACTCAGTTGACGATCGTTATGCAAACACATCAACCATTTCATGACCTGAAGCTTACATTCTCTTAATACTTGTAGGACCATGCTTGGGCCAGTACGAGACGGCAAAGCATTGATGAGCAAACTACGACATGCATCCACAGCAATCATACCCATTTCCTCACGATATAACCACATTGCTCTGTGTTGATGCAGCAACATTACAAAGGCAGCAAAGAATAATCTTTCTTCTGAAGCGTAGAGACCGCAGTCAGTAGCCTATCAACCAAGCTGAAGCGTTATCGACGTATAGAAACGCTATCTGCCGTGTATCACACATGCTTGCATACAGCCTTGACACACCACCAGAAAACATACATCTCAGTCTGTATTGACTACATTTGAAAACGAGCCATGAACAGCACACATACTTGCATGAGAGATGAGTATCACGCAGGAGAAAGTCACGCATATTCATTCGAATAATAAGCTACATTGAAGACTTGACACAGAGAAAATGGAAGCTCTTGGCTAAACATCAACATTCATTCCAAGACACCCTGCCTCCAAAATTGCTATCAATACGGAATCGGTAACTTCATGCACGGCTCTACACCAGGGTATTCTGGCAGCTCAAGATTGAGCTCTTCCGCTAACGACCTACATAGCACGTTCTGTTAACTCTTGATGGGGCTGTAATGCTATACAACATTACTTACTTTGGCACAAACCGTCCGCCAACGTAGTGGGACTTGCCAGTTCCGGTAAAGTACTTTGCGCAGACTTTTGGTGCTGTCAGAGAAATCAACATCTGTGGTTCCAAGCCAACACCGCCTTCATTTCCTGTCAACATCGACACGCATTTGACAACAGCAAAACATAAGCAAGCAAAAGAAATAATGAGCAAATGAATCAAAGCGCACCATGCTCAACATGCCACCCTGATGGAATATCAATCGAGACAATTGGTGTTTCACACTTTTGCAGTGTCCTGACAACATGATCAAACGGTGGGCGAATGCGTCCAGAAAAGCTAAATCCAAAAATCCCATCCAGAATCAAGTCGTACGACGCATCCACACTCGAACTACAAAAACGAAAAACAACAACACAAATGCACCCATCATGTATCCATAACTATCTACAACCACCGACCAGTAGCATGATCAAACTGTTTTCGTTCTTACGGGTCCTGAATGTCTTCAATAAACGGAATCTTCAGTTGCTCACATTGAGTCACAAGTCCCTAGATCAAATCCATGGACATCTTTCCCGATAAACTTCCCACACAATCATATCTCGAAATGTATCCACTACATCTCACCTGAAACAATGGCTTTAAACTGCGCTTGGGGTATAAAATACTTGGTAAGTAGCCAAAATGCTGCAGCATCATTCCACACATGAGCCATTCCTTCTCCATGGAGTTCCACCATGTCCCAATATTCGATTAAAGCGTCATACCACTAAATGACGAGCTGCAACCAATGCGTCACCTCTAAGAATGTAACAGTCATCATAAACGCAATTGGTAGTCGTTACAGATCAATTCTCTAGCTTTAAATATCCACACAAGACGCTCGTTCGTCCCGTTCTTCCATTATTGTAAATACAAACCCATTATTTCCTGGTCCAGTAACAATAAGAACACGTTGAAATCTCTCCATTGATGCAGTACTGGGATACTCGTTTCCAACTGCTGTAGCGATACTAAGACCTGATAATTCCATCAATTGATCAAGAGAAAACCCGTGTCGATTACTCATAAGTTCCTCATCCAACCGCTGCGCTTCACGTTGTCCCAGATACTTCAAGAACCATATAGATAGATAGATAGATATGACATAATACATCGAAACAATTAATCCAAATATGTCGTATATCAGAAATAATAAAAAGAGGATTTTATCCTACTCGTGTCTTCATTTTGAGCTTAAACATTATCAAAAAAAAGATGTTTCAAATATACAAAACTAGCAAATGTTGCAAACTGTCAAAACATCTCGTTGATTCGAATTAATGACTGTTTGTTTTCTTACGATCTCCCCCTCTCTCTCTTAAGATCCAATAGAGAAATATTTACTTTGTAAATCTAAAATTCCAAAGATGTTTCGAAACCAATATGATACGGATGTGACTGTATGGAGTCCACAAGGTCATTTACATCAAATTGATTATGCGATGGAAGCAGTTAAACAAGGAAGTGCATGTCTAGGATTAACATCCAATAAGTTTGTTGTATTATGTGGTATCAAACGTCAAAGTCTTGAACTAGCGGAACATCAGAAAAAAGTCTTTAAAATTGATGATCACATGGGTATTGCAATCTCTGGACTTACAGCGGATGCACGAACACTGGCGCGTTTTATGCGTACAGAAAGTCTCAATCATAAGTTTGTCTATGGTAGTGATATTACCGTGGGACGGTTGGTTTCGGACGTAGCAGACAAGAAACAAGAGTGTACACAGTCCTACATTCGTCGTCCGTACGGTGTGGGACTGCTTGTAGCTGGTGTTGACGTACGTAACTTTGAGCACATTGATATACAACGCTATCGAGAAAGAGCTTTTTTACACATGTATTTGTATGTCAATTGGCTGCGTGTATGGTGTTAGAAAAAAGGGGTGCATCTGTACCAAACGTGTCCGTCAGGCAATTACTACGAGTACAAAGGGATTGCAATTGGTGCACGGTCGCAGTCAGCACGCACGTATTTGGAAAAGCACTTTGAGAGCTTTCCTAATTGTAAGTGGAGGATGCTTTGTCACGAAAGTGAGAGGGAGGAGTGAGTAACGGGGTAAACACTGGTGTGTTTATGTTTTGACAGTGAGCAAGGAGGAGCTTATTCATCACGCACTTCAGGGTGTGCGTGGCTGTCTTCATGGAGACCAGGAACTGACGGCTAATAACGTTTCTATTGCGGTCGTGGGAGTAGACCAGCCTTTCAAGATTATTGAGGGCACCGAGCTCCAGCCTTACGTACGAAGACAACGATGCTTGCTATTTGGTGGTGATGATATATGGGTAGAGTATTGATTGTTGTGGTGTTACTGTTACTGCAGATTGATGCCGTGGAGGTGTCGGATGTGAAGGAGGATGAAGACGGTGACACCAAGATGGAAGAATAAACCGAAAGCAGAATGATTTGCTTAGCTGTCATCTGGATTGTGATGAAGATTGCAAGGGAATCATTGCTCTGCCGTTCATGATCTAGTCGGACAATAGCTAGTGGTACGTAAGTGCGTGGACTCATTCGTAGCTAGCTGTTGTTCAGACTAGTAAGGACAAGAGCAAGCTACAGTGACTAGGCAACATTATCTTCTTGGCAGAGTTAATCATGCAACACGAGTTTGAAAGACAAGTAAAGGATCGTGTTGGAGATCGTAATACTTGTGCGAAGCGTGGCTTCTTTCAGTTGTGGTGTGTCATTGTTTGGAACAGAGATTTTGATCTGCATATCGGTAGCACGCAATCAAGTAATTTGTGCTGGTCATGCAGGATAATGAAGGAGTAGTCAGTCATCCGTGCTGAAGTAGGATATAATCGAGAGATTCATGCGTATACACTTGGTCTGTTGCATTCGATGACAAGGAATCGTCTCACGTCAAAAGACCGGGTCAGGTAATACCGGTAAGTTCGATAAACGCCATTTGTATCAGAACGGATTCAAAAAGCTCATCAATAATTATTGCATTGCAATAACTGTAATTCGAAATATTCGTGTCCTCCTTGTCCATGATATAAGAATATTCTGTATCACAATTAATTAGTCCTGCTTTTTATTTCTCCAATGTTCTTTTTCGTCTCACTAGTTGAAGTTGCTCAAGGCACGAGTTGCTGAAGCACTAAATTATAATGTTGCACTAGCTTCTTCAATTTTAAACCCAATCATAAAGCTTTAAAGAAGACAGAAATTGACTGCGACTCGAAGATGGTATGTGAGCGACCTATTGCGTCTTTACAAGGACATCCAGACGATATCATGGATGGAAGACATCGTACAGAAAGTAATGACTCGGATATTGAAGAAGGTACGTGCAAATATCAGATATTAAACCCACAAAAACAGATTTTATCGTAGTTATTTTGCTCCGTGATAATTGTGTTGACGAGATCAATGAATTGTTTTTTTTATTTTCGTTGCAATTAATTGTTTTTTATTGCTCGTTTACCATAGAAATGATGCGTGTGAATGATTTTGATTATGATTGGAGACGTCAAATCAACGTCGGACATTTAGTGGATGCTCAAAATGTCTTTGGCAATTGGTGTCCAGCCAGAGTTGTAGAGGTTGTAGATGGAGAAGTGCTGCTACAATATTTGAACATGCACGAGACTTGGCGACAGTGGTTGACGCTCGATTCAGGTCGATTAGCACAATCAGGGACAAAGGTACTGTATGGAAAGCGTTGTTGTTGCTGTTTTTTCTTGTCGGTCTTGTGGTGACTAACGTCGAGGTGATGCGTGATAGACACAGAATGATAGTATCCCGGTGCGTCAGGCTCAACAGATTGAAGTGCGTCCTGGTGGAGGAAATAGTAACTTGTGGAAGGAAGCATTTGCAGTGCGTGCACTTGGAGGAAAGATCTTGGTGCGCTATGCTGGACGCGATCAAAAGTTTGACGAGTGGATTCAGTTTACACCAGCGACGGTGGCACCTGCTGGTGAACACTTGCAACTTCGTGGACGTGGTAGTACGTTGGAACAAAGGAAAATGGATGTAAATACGCCGAACGTGGCACATTGTCGTGTTATTCAAGCCCAAAACCCCAGATTTCAACATTACCGTGACTCGCTGCAGGTTTCCCTAGGACTGCAGATTCATGATATCGAAGGAGACGGCAATTGTCTCTTCCGATCATTTAGCCACCAAATATATGGCAACGACAGTCATCATGCCCTTGTACGCGCGGCCTGCATGGACTATATGGAGAGCGAGAAGGAATATTTTGAGCCATATGTGGTGGGTGATATGGCAGCGTTCATGCGCTACTTGCGTTATAAGAGGCGTGACGGTGTCTGGGGAGACGACCCAGAGCTTCAGGCTATGTGTGAGCTATACGATCGTCCTGCCGAAGTGTTTGCGTATGAACCGGTCCACGGCTTTCAAAAGCTGCGATGTTTCCATGAGAATAGTACTCTCTCCCGTAGTAGACCTCCTATTCGGTGCGTATATGCAAAAAGAGTGATACAACCCTTTTGCGTAGTTCTAACACGTATATGCGCTGTTGACGTAGGCTAAGCTATTATGGAGGAGGTCATTACGATTCACTTGTTGGGCCCGACCATGAAATAAACTTAATCCGTGAAACCCCAGGCGAATGGGAGCAGCGACACATCAGGTATTCTCGGCAAATTAACTCACGTGATCTACGTGATAGTGTTACCGGTGTGGAGCTGCAGATGCCGGCTCAGTCTGACCGTGAACGCACAGAGGTGGAGCAGCTGGAACACATTCTTATGGTATGCATAACACATGCTAGCTTTCGGATTGTATAAACTCGAGAACTAACTTGATATGATGCTCAGCTATCACGAAACGAGTTTGACGCCATGGACACAAGCTTAGAGGAGATACTAAAGCTGACGCTCGCAGAGCATGACAGAGAGGCTTTGCTGCAACAGGCACAAAGGGAGTTTGAAGAAATCAAAGAAGCTACTCGCGAAAGTGAGATGGGCGCAATCCAAGCTGAGCTACTGGCAAAGGCAAAGGCTGAATCGGAAGAAGAGCAGTTGAAGTCTGCTATTCAAGCATCGTTAGGTGGCCACAATCTGGAAAGTGATGGCGACTTTGACGAACAAGTATCGGCAGCAATTCAAGCATCCCTAGGAGATGCTGAAGCAAGCGTTCCTGTGGGAGATTATGAGGAACAATTGCGTTGCGCTATAGAGTTGTCAGCTCAAGAGTATGCACCCACACCGCAGGCGTTTGGATTGTGCGAGGATTCGCAAAACACAGACGAGATGGATGAGCTTCAACGTGCAATCCAAGCTTCACTGGAGCGATCCTAGAACCATGTCATGAACATTCCTAGTTTGTTGAACGGTGACATCGGGCACAGGGCACCTATACACGAGTTCATTCAGTACCACGCATTGCATCACTCGCTCACTACTATTGTCGCGATTATTGCTCCATGCTCGTCGTATCTAGCAATCTGCGCTCTGTATTTCTTGGTCACAGACGCTCTTTGACGTACTCGGCGATGCGCTGCTCCATGTAAATTCGGTCCTCTAAGTGGCGCGGTGAATGGCGCTCACCGGGAAAAAGAAGTAAATCGTAATGTTTTCGAGCGCTGATAAGCGATGCGATAAGACGAGCAGTATGGCGAAAATGCACGTTCTCATCAATTAGCCCATGTATAAGTAGTAGCTGCTGCCCGTCCTGCATGTTGTCAACAGCCTCCATAACCGAACCATTTCGATAGCCCGTTGGATTCAGCTGGGGCGTTGACATATAGCGCTCCGTATAGCAAGTATCATACCCGTCCCAGCTCGTCACAGGAGCCCCGGCAATGGCAAGATTGAATGTTTCAGGAGCTTTTAAAAGACAAATAGCCGCCAGATAGCCACCATAACTCCAGCCGTAAATTCCCACTCGCCCCGCAATCGTAACACCCTCGTTCACTAGCTTGCGGACGCCATCTTCTTGGTCTAAAACTTCTACAGTGCCCATGCGATGCTTGATTGCGCCCTCGAAGGCTGACCCACGACGAAAACTGCCGCGATTGTCGATCTTCAATACGGCATACCCCATGTCACGGAACCGCTGTGCTCGCATGTCGACCGTCATTGCCCACATGCGTGCAACACGCTGTACATGAGGCCCACCATAAACACTCACCATTGTGGGGTATGGCCCTTCACCGTGTACCTTCGGATCCGGTAAATATACTGCCCCATAGAGTGTTTCCTTACCATCACGGGTAGGGACCGATATGATCTTGGGTACGCACAGCTTTCTCCGGGCTTGCAGCATCGCTACACGTAAATTCTCCGGCTCTGTGGTCAGTGGAAATGCTGAAGCCTGAATTTCCTTTAAAAGAGCAGCAAGTTCCATCGGTGGCGGGGCGGCTGTCTCCGCAGCCAAACTCGAATCCGCAAGTTCGATCGGCGTCACTGCTGCAGTACGAGCCTGGGAAGGCACAGCACACACTTGCGCACGCGGTGGCGTTGTTAGATTGCTATACACGTCTACAAACACACGGCAACTACTATCCATGACGATGTTGTGCATGCCTTCTGCACTAGTCAGTTTGATGGGGGAAGCGGTGGGTCATCAGCCGGAGAAAGCGACGCCACATACAAATGACGCTCCAGCGGAGAGTCTACCGTACCACAGAAGAACACACGCCCTTGTGCCAAGTCAACACCTTCCACAGATTCCACACTCCATTTGCCGCTCGTCACAGTATTAAGAAGCTGTGCTCTCGGTGCTCCAGCCGTGTACTCGTACAGGTACAAATGCATGAAGCCAGTTCGCTCAGACGCCCACAAAAAACGAAACGTACTATTGCTCTCCACTTCCAAGTTGCGGAACAGGTAGCTCGCATTTATCCATATTGGGTTAGTTTCCTGAATTAGTGTTGTAGCATGTCCTGTCTGTACATCAAATCGAATGAACAAGAGCTCTGTCTGAAGTCGATTCAGCCTTTGCACACCTAAAGACAGATCTGGCAGCCAATTCACTCTCGCAATGTAAAAGTCCTTGTCTGGATTCACTGATGCAAAGTCCATCCACATTGGTGTGGGTATTTCATATTGCTGCTGTTTTTCTTGAAGCTGCGTTATTGCCTGATTGGCATGTGGCAATGTAATGACTCCCAACCTTCGCTTTGGATTGGCGGCACCTGCAAAAGGGTAGCGATGATCTTCCTGTGCCGCATCTCCTGTTGGCTCAGCACTGCCCGAGTGCATGATCCGAAATTTCGGTATGTGACTCTCGTCAATCTCTTCAAAAGCTAGTCTCGAGCTGTCGGGAGCCCACCAAAAACCTCGGAACCGATTGAGTTCCTCTTGTGTCAGAAAACAGGCTAAGCCATTGGATCTTCCGTCAATTCCTCTTGCTCCTGTTGTCACCTGTATTGCCTGCTGCTGTCCCGTTGCATGACTGGTAATAACATAAATCTCCTTGTCCTGTACAAAAGCCACCCATCGTCCATCCGGAGAAAATTGCGGATCAATAGCACCCCCTACGGCACCCGTAGACGTCTTATCAAAGAGCAACTTAAGCTCTGCCCCCGGATACTCTTGAATATAGATATCACCTTGTAGAGGGTACAGAAGACGCTGCGAATGAGGTGACGGATTCCACGCGTAGGACGTGATTCCAATCCCCATTTGACGCTGTCGTTCACGTCTCAGCTTTTCCTCAAGACTGAAATTGCATTCTGTGTTGCCTTGATTCGGTGGCGCTGCAAGGAGTGACACACGGCGAGAGGCCATATCCAGTGCGTATAATTGGCGTGAAAGGCCACTTTGAGACTCGGGAGCGTGTAAGAAGGCCACAATACGTCCATCTGGACTAAAACTTACGCTAGAGGGTGAGCTAAGACCTGGTGCAGGCATCTTTGCGACGTCTTCGAGCGGTATGAGCTCGCGTGCGGCCATTAGCATCAAGTGGGGCAGTTTAACTCGGACGACTTGGATTTTTCGATCTACTATTTGAAAGTGTAGAGGGGGTGGGTGGTTTCAACTATATACTGAAAACAAGAGAAAAAGTAAAAAAGTCTATTACATTGGATAATGCATATCAGATCGTCAGATCTTTGTCTTGACATCTCTTGCTGCAATAGATACATACATGTATGTATGGATTCATGTATGTATCTATGTTTATATGGAGAAACATATGAAAGAATCATCATCATTACAGTGCATTGCGTCAAACTGTCGTCTACATATAGAAAATGGTCACAAGACTTCTAATTTAAGCATTATATTGAGTATGTCTGCATGCGCATAGTCATATGCGATGGAAGTAGTATTTGCCCTAGTAATTCTTGTACGTGCATGTATCGTTCGTTAGCCACAGAAAGTCATTATTGCAAGAGGGACGCTTGAATCTGTACTACAATTACGTCTTGCATTGTGAGGTACTGTGCTGCATCAGCGACAATGTGACAAGCAGAATATTCTGGTGACGTAGACGTCAGTCTCATTGCGACGCGGCGAAGTTGATCAAAAAGACTAAAATTGACTAAAATTGACAACCTGACAAGTATGTGACAGAACTGTCGTCAATAACTGGACTAAAATTTGACTATTTCTTAGTTCAGAATATTGGTATTTTATTAATAAAATACAAGTGTTACGTGCGACAAACACAAAAAGTCGGCAGTTTTGACACAAATGAGCTACAGACATCATCAACATATACACGCTCATCAAAATATCGAACAAGTGTCAAAATGGCTACATTCGTTTCTGATTTCTAGAAATAATCCACCCATCACGATTGACATGTCACATGAATAATAAAAGACCCTCAATTAAACCCATTCCTTATAAATGGGAGCTTTACAGTATGAAGGAATTATGCGTATTCGTGCACGTTTTGAGTTCCATTCATCTCGTACTAATGGATATAATATATATAGTAATGAACCAACATCTGCTACTGCTACTTCATCATCATCTTCTTCTTCGATTGATAGCCACTTGAGCCACTTAGACGACAATGTCTGGTACTTTTGTATCTCTCATGCGTCTTCCGCTACACTTGAGTGGTTTACACTGGAAATTCATACAGAAAGCAGTGAAGATGAAGATCCTTTGTGTCCGACTGCAGCCTCAGGAGGAAAGAATGGTGTGTTAGTAACCACCATGAACGTTTCAAACGTTGAGACTGTGAATGGAGAGAACGTCAAGTTGGCTGAAGACGCTTTTGGCGTATTAATGGCTTCTCAGGAATACAATCAACTCAAGAACTGTTTCTTGTGCATTGAAGATAAAGTACTGAGAGCTGTATTCTTGATTGAGGTGGAGACGCAGACACAGAGAGATGAATGGGTGCAGTTTTTAGGAGATGTCGTGTCAAAAGAGAAGAACAAGGTAGAACAAGTGGGTGACGCTCAAGAGGCTGGAGAAGACGCGACAGAGGACGTTGAATTGATCCATCTCGCAGCGCCCCGATCGACGGTTTCGGTCCGATCGCTCTTGCATCAAGGCAAGTCGGAGAATTTGATGGAAGAAGAAGATCCGTTTGGTTTACTGTCACTCGTAACGTCGGCACTGGGTTCATCAAGAACGATGACAAGCAATGCTGCACCAGGGATGTTTGCGATGGATCACTTTGGGCTCATAGAAGGAACTGGACAGGAGGAAGACACAGACGACAGTGACGCTTGTGTCGCTAATACGGAGTTTGACTGTGCCGCAGACACTACAGTGGTTCCACCGTCGTTGCTTGCATTAGGACAACAACAGAGCGTACAACCTATACCATCCCGTAAGTGCGCATGCAGCAACGGTATTTACTCTCTTAGCTCAAGTATGATCCGAGAGTCTGCTAATGATAAAAAAGGTCGGCGGCATAGTATGAGTGCTATATTCGGTTCGTCTTCCAGCTCAGCGGGTGGCTGTTTGCGCTGTAACAAAAGATTTGGGCGCGTTATTCATACTGCAAAGATTTGTGCGTCCTGTTTGCACCGCTTCTGTCGCGATCACTGCAACCAATGGACAGCCCTCACAGCTACTGACTTGATCACACTGCCAACTGAAGACGTGATAGGATCTCAAGTAGTCGCGAAAGCTGCGTCTGAATCAAAACGTGTATGCTTGGATTGTTTTGTACGACAGCAGTTGCTAACTACACTGCAAGAAGCTGGAGCGTATTATGCATCTGTTGTTGACGAAGCCGGTGGATTGTCGCGCTTAGTGCGTTGGAAATATTTTGATCAATGCCCAAAGCTTGAGATCGAAGCTCACATTCGTGCTCGCAGCCTTGGTCCTTTGAGTCTTCTTTCGGCAATGTTTAAGTATCGACAGCAACCGTTCATGTTCGTCGTAGTGCTAGCGCAGCTTGTGTATCACGTTGAGATCTGCTTAGACACGATGGACTTTTACTGGCCACAGTTTTTGCAGTGGGGCTATATTAATCTTCAGGATGCTTCACCTAGTGTCCGTGTCTTCTATCTCTTTTTCCTGGCTGCAACTGTTCGCCGTAGCGTGCATCTTGCAGTAAAGGCAACATGGGAATGCATTGCTGCTCACTGGGATGCAATGGCAGGTGGGCGTTATAAGCGCGGAAATGGAATCGTAATAATGTTATTCTTCGTGACAAACGTCAACTTCGGAGAAACTCGAAGCGTACTACCACCGCTGTTGTTCCCGCAAGCACCAGCACATCAGCACGAATCGTTTAGCAAGTTGCTGGAACAACTGTACGAATACGTACGTCGTGTCTACGCTATCTCTCAGCGCGAGTCACCTTTCTTTGAGTGGCTTCTCGCCCGCAGCAAGGAAGAAGTCGTGGCTAGCTCTCGTAATGTTCGAAAGCAGCTTTGTGCTTGTGATGGCGTTCTGGACCCATTTCCAACTGATTACTATGAAGAAACGCAACTTCTGATACTGGAACGTCGCCGATCGGGAACACAACATCTTGTGGAAACCAAGCAGCGGATGTGGAGCAAACCAATTCAACACATTTTTAGCGACGAAGTGCGACTTGTGCGATTCCTCGTGGATTTGTGCACATACTTGAAAGAAAACATATCTGAGCCTTCGCAGCGAAAGCAGGAGCTCCCAGCGCTGCTCCAGGAGATGCTGCGCGGGAAGCATATTCGGCCCGAGGCTGCATTGCCGCTAGCAGGGGCCGTGGCTCGTTCACACCGCGTCGTCAACGTACTTACAAACGAAGGTACGGTTTTTTCTACGAAGGCTCGTGCGCCAACTTTGGTGTTCTTTGAAATCGTTTCTTCATCAGTAGGGTGCGATGATGAGTCTTGCGAACGAGAAGGCTGGGATCACGATACGAAGCTTGACGCTTTGGTGGATGCTGCCGTGGATATGGACAACAAGATGACGGGCGTGTTGGAACTACACCAACAGGAGGTTACTAATTACCTCGATGGAAAGTTTGTCGGAACATACACGGCAGACTTGATTCCTGTTAGTCAAACTGCACCCCAATCCTCGTCACGGTCTTCAATCTCGGAAGACCTCGACGACCTTAATCATATACTTCCGACGGGCTGCACTCCATTAAGTGAAAAGGCAGGCAATGAGAGGCTCCATGGCTGCGAAAGTGAAGAAGTTGCTGATACGGAGGTAACGGGTGACGATGTTGCAAATACGAGTGAGAGCATACACTCGGAAAATTCATCAGACGCTTATAATTGCCCGTTTTTTGGAGAACGCTTTGCTGATACACAAAGGCGTATTCGAGAGGGTAGTGCTTTTTCACACTACGATGGTTGGGCGTTGGTTCCAATAATTGCAAAGAGCTTCGATGATATGCGTCAGGAAGTTTTTGTATTACAAGGGCTCAAGTTGTTCCAGCTTATTTTCCGCAAGCACAATCTCGATCTCTCGATGCGCTACTATAGCATCGTGTGTGCAGGTAAAGACTGTGGACTGCTTGAAGTGATCACGGATGCACAGTCTTTGGATAGTTTAAAGAAGAAGGGTGCGAAAATTGATGGCATTGGCACCTCACTACCCAAAATTTTTGAGCAGGCGTGTGGGCGACACCCTATTACTGGTCAGCGTGATTCGGTTCGCCTAGAAGGTGCTCGTGCTAACTTCATCACGAGCATGGCTGCCTACAGTCTTTTTTGCTATATATTTCTGGTAAAGGATCGTCACAACGGCAACATCATGCTGACTACTGAAGGTCACGTCGTGCACATTGATTTTGGCTTTGTTCTTGGCATTGCGCCCGGCAATACCTTCAGTCTTGAGACGGCTCCGTTCAAGCTTACGCCTGAGATGGTTGAGATTATGGGCGTGGAGGGTTTTGATCGCTACCGGCAGCTCGTGGCTAAAGGATTGCTTGCTCTGCATCTGGAAGCTTCCCAGTTGTTGTCTCTCGTATACTTGTCGTCCAAAGACTCGTGCTTCCCGTGCTTTAAAGGTCAATCTCGAGCTCGAATTGTTCGACAACTGAGTCATCGTTTGTGTATTGGCGGCAGCGTACACGACGTCGAACGCTCTGCTGCTCGCATGGTGGACAAGAGCAATGGACATCTTGGCACTAGACAATACGACTGGTTCCAGAAAATTTCAAACGGTATTCTGCCGTAGCGAAATGCCGTAGCGACACTGACGGAAACAACAATCATGGCGTTTGAGCTTACCTTAAATTATTAATGAGGGCGCATTTAGCGAGGGTGTCCAGCGAAACAGTTCGATAGCATTCACTGAAATGCGGACTGCTTGCTGCCAGTACAAATTAAAACTACAGGAAAATGTACAAAACAAGTCAAACTTGAGTATGGCGACGACCGCTGTGTAAAACAATTCAATCGACTATCATTTGTCCCTCTTCGTCCTGCTCACTGACGCCGCTTTTTCTTCAAGTGCGACTTTTTCGAGTCGTGGTCGCTGTGGCGACGATGGCGATGTTTGTGGTCTTTCTCTTTCCGAGTTTTGTGCCTTTTCAACAAACTCGCTCGCTTCTCGTCTTTCTTCGACACCAAAAGTTTATTGCGGTTCCGTTTACTCTCTGCTGTCTCCGACTCAACACTCGAGCTGCGACTGCGGCTTGAACGACGACGTCGGGACGATGATCTCTCTCGGCGACGTCGACTAGTCTTACGACTGCAACTGCGACTTTTCGACCGTCTGCAATGACGTCTTCTCGGGCTACGACTGCGACTTCGGCTACGTCCACGTGATGACGGACAGAGCAAAGACAATTGCTTTTCCTTTTCATCGTCGCTGTCTGCTTCTTCCTCGTCACTTGAAAAATCCTAAATGGTAAAAAATACACAACAACAACCGATTTAAATAGACTCTTCTCTTATTAAGACAATATTTGGGCTCAACGTCTTGTTTTTACCGAAGACGAAGACGAATCTGACGATAATATCATGCGCTTCTCCGTTACATCCAAACGATTTCGACACTGAAATGTCAAATGTCCTACTTTGCCACACTGTAAAAAAACCAATAAAAAGTCATCCGTTTAGATCAAATATAAACAATTAGCACAAGTCCCATATTTTACATACTTTCTTACAAGCGCCACGGACATCGTTCTAAAAGACACCAAAAAAACACACAAAAAACAGCATAAATTACCCTTCTCGACTTTTACAATAGTTTACAACGTGTCACCCCCCACCCCTTTATTTGACAGTTTTGCAAGTGTCATGAGCCCTTTTGCCTGTTCATACGAAGTCTCGGTCGCTTCCTGTTTCTCATCTTCAGCTGCATACGGATCGTAGCCAATCGTATTCTTCCAAATGCTCGTCATCTTGAGCGCTGCGCTGCTGTGCATGCGATTGTTGTGCGGCATACGCACGCGTCCTGCTGTCGCCGGCATTTGGTGTCAGTCAGTCAATCTGTAGCGCTATCAACAACTGAACACGAATACTAAAAATATATGCTTCTTCTCAGAAATTCCTTTTGACCCAAAAAATAGGTTTGGTTTGACACTACGAGATACAAGGACAGGCCAATAAGTCACGCTTCTCTTTTTTCTACCCAAGCCAGAATCAGATTTCGATACGCCTTGAGGTCTTTCATCCATCCCTCTCCTTCTCATTCCTCCTTCACTCGCTTCTACGAAAATGACGCAGACCGACGATGACCAGGCACACGATGAATCACCATCACCAATGTCACCCGTTACGATTATATCACGTGAGGAACCAACGGAGCCACAGCGTCGACCGACCTTGTCTCTACCTCGCCAAATACAAGAGTGTACGATCCAGCGTATTCTTGTGACTGGTGGTGCTGGGTTTATTGGTACTCATTTATGTCGTAAATTACTCGAACAAGGCCATGAAGTGATTTGTCTTGATAACCTATTTACAAGTCAACGTTCGAATGTGCTAGAGCTACAGACTCGTTTTCCAAACTATGAATTTATACGTCATGATGTGACTGAACCATATGCGTGTGAAGTGGATCAGATTTATAACTTGGCATGTCCAGCATCACCTGTACATTACCAGTATAATCCCATCAAGACTACTAAAATATCATTTATGGGTGCAATCAACGTGCTTGGACTTGCAAAACGAGTGAAAGCTCGTGTGTTTCATGCTTCAACGAGTGAAGTGTATGGTGACCCGGAAGTTTCTCCACAAGTGGAATCGTATTTAGGCAATGTCGACTGCACAGGTGTGAGAGCATGCTATGATGAAGGTAAACGTGTGGCGGAGACGCTGTTTTTCGAGTACCACCGCACACTGAATGTGGATATTCGTGTCGCACGCATTTTCAATACGTATGGTCCTGGGATGCACCCATATGACGGACGGGTTGTAAGCAACTTTATCATGCAGGCTCTACAGGGTGAAGACATTACAATTTACGGTTCAGGTAACCAAACACGCTCATTTTGTTTTGTGGATGACCTGGTAGAAGCTATCATGCGCTTCATGAGCTGCAATACATGCGTGGGGCCTATGAATTTGGGCAACCCGCACGAAATGACTATTCGCGAGCTGGCCGAAATGATTATTTGCCTTACCAATTCTCGAAGTCGTTTGGTGTTCCGGGATCTTCCCAACAACGATCCCAAGCTGCGCAAACCTGATGTCACTCTTGCCAAGCACGTTTTCCTGGCTGTGTTTTATGTTTGGTCAGTGGTAAGGTGTCAATGATATTAACAGTGAACCTTGTTGTTGTTTGTGCTTTTTGCAGAACACATTTGGGTTGGAGTCCTCTTGTGTGCATTGAAGAAGGGCTCCTGCGCACTATCGCATATTTTCGGGACTTAGACCTATCTAAGTACAAGCGGCCAACCAACAACACAGCGCATCGAAAGAGTGAGATAGCGAACCAGAGTAAAGGAGCTCCTCGTTAGCTATTGCACTCAGAGTATTGGTTGTTTCACGCTGGTAGCTCTGCATCGAACAGGCTGAATGTAGCTGTCGAGGGTTGCAAGAGTGGTGCTTATGCAGCAGCAGAAATCATAGGAAAATAAGCAAGCCAAATTGCCCTGATACGCTTCTTCACATCCACTACGTAAAAGCTGTTGAGACGTCCCATGCGTTGTTATTAGCCATGGGTAAAAGACGCCATAACATTGTATTGTCAAGAAATCGCAGCTTTCATGCGTTCATTAATCATCACATGGTGGCTTATTGATCAATGATGGGGGGGGGTAAAACATCAGAAGCGAGCAGCAGTATAGACGAATTACGTGCTTATTGGATTTCGTAAACACAAACCCACATGTGCCTTTACTCATGTGCCTTTACTCATGTGCCTATACTCACATGCCTTCGGATCGCTTCTCCTGTTACATAATTATGTAAGATTAAGTAGCCACGTTTTGCACAGTTTGCACGTCTTCTTGAACACCGCCACCTTCACCGATCTTTGCACCAGGAAACTTGACGATCACAATGCTTGCGTTATCCTGGCTGCAATGCACCAACACAAACTAATATCAGCGAAGAATAAGGTTGTCAATACAGAGCATAAAAAAACTACCTATCTAGACATTGGTCCAGAACCTCTTCCGCAATCTGTTTCAAGTCAGCCTTGCCTTCTGCCATGCGCTTACGAATAAAATCACAGACCTTATAGTCGCTCATGACATCACAGACACCGTCACAAGCAAGCACCAAAAACTCCTCCGTGTTGTCGATCATAGTCGCAATCACATCCGGAGAACAAGACACCTGCTGCTCTGCGGCCGGCAAGTCGGTGCGGGTCTTGTAGCGAAAGTCGCCAAGACCACGCGAGACCGACAAATCTCCATTTACGCGGTTGTCCCACACCGTTCCGCCTGCATTTTTAATACGCTCATACTCTTTTGGCTACAAACAGTAATCGTAACCATCTTACTCACGTTAGCAATGAACACCATCCGTGCATGTATGTGTTTTGTTTCTCCTTGTTGCTAACATGTCTCTCACCTTCCAAGGTTTGTGGTCACGGGACATCGTGACTGTTTCGCCATCTCTAAATAAAAAACAGCGCGAGTCACCCGCGTTTGCCACGACAATACCCTTGGGCGTAATCAGTGCAACAACCGCCGTAGAGCCGCTCCGTACACCGTAGACGATCTCCTTGTCATACGTATCACGGATACTTTTGTCCAAACTCATAAAGGCCTTACGCATGGCACTACCAAAAGCATCGTATCGTTTTTGCGAGTACTTCATTTCCAATTTTCCCTCAGAAGATAAACTCTTCAATGCATTCGCCACTTCTTCCGTGATTCTTTGAGAGGCCAATTGAGCAGTAAGATGACCGCAATGGCCATCAAATATAGCAAAGAGTGAAAAGCCCTCGGGTAAGCCAGCCGGTTTAACGTCTGTCACGTGTGCGTCCTCCATCGTCTGACGCCATCCCTGCATGGCAGCAACTGCATATTCAAGACCATTACCCGTTCCACCTTCTGTTTCCTTCGTAGTATCAGGCCAAGACATCAAAGACATGATTTTGTTTGTCTTCAATCCTCTTGTTTCAACTTACGTAGCACTATTTAACTCTAACAATACTTTGCTGTTTTTTCATCTTGTCAATTCATGACTCGTACTTTTGATGGATATAATTTGACTAGTACTTCAGATGGATACGTTTGACTAAAACTTCTCTCTTTTGATTAGAACTTTCCTTCTTTTTTTTAAAAGTGTCTCAAATTAGAACTTTCTTAATTGGTTGGAAATTTGGAGTGATGATATTTTTGCATGATGCATGTTTTTGACTACCTGGTTGTTATTTTGTTTTAGATTTTTAGAGAACTTCTCTGTTCATTGTAATGAATAACGCTTCAGAATGATATTGTTGTAGCGGTTGGAAGCGAAGATGCTTCCGGCACGTGCGCCACACAGTGCAGAAAGGATGTGCTACGAGAGAACTCGAGAAGGTGAAGCAGGCTGCCGCCTAAATCTACGGTACGTGATAAGAAAACAAAATAAAATGAGATCAGTTTGCAACCAGACACTGACACATACTCACGCGTACCTGAGGCCCTCTTTCCAATAAGTTGTAAGCTCAATGGAGGATCATGAGCTGGGAGTCTGAATGACGTTATTCTGAGAGTGCTACGGGCATCCAGGGCGCGTCAAGTGAATGACGCACGGCAAATTGAGTCGCCGTTCACCACGAACAGCGGCCACCAAGCTGCCCCGGAGCTGGCCATGATCATGGCAAATCAAACTGCCATCATGGGCCAGCTGGCAGAACTGAAGCAGCATAGATTAACACTCCCGGCGCCGATAGGGAATACTTTCGGACCGGCGGAGCAAGCGATGATGACAGCACGGAGAGTGGCTGCGCTAGGGCTCGCGCCTATCAGACCGGCGTCGCCACATGAGTTGGTGCCGCGAGCACCGACCGAAATGATGGAGATAGACGAGTGTGAAGAAGTGAGATTGTGGGAATGGTTTTTGCGGGGATCGGGCGATCCAATGATTGTGTTAAATCCGAATCACGCGTGATTGGTCATTAAAGCGATCACACGGTGTGGACTACACAATAAGGATCGCGACCGTGCCCAGCCGATTCAGTCGGTTACCGATTTGATCACGTGGTGTGGACCACATGCCCCAGATTGCGATCGCATTCCAAGTCGTCAGCAAATCGGATCGTGTGATGTGGACCACATCCCACGGATTGCGATTACGGACCAAGCCGTCAGCATATCGGATCGCGTACTGTGGACCGCATACCCCGGACCGCGATCAAGATTAAAGCGAAGCGTGGCGTTAGTCCTGTCATACAAGTAGGCAAGATGTTAGTTTTGGGTCCTATTTCACATAGGTTAAAAGTAAATTTGCAAGGAAGGGCATAGGTATTAATTTTGCTACATTAGTCATAGGCAGTGTTTTTCCTTAGGCTAGTTTAGTATCAGTATTGGTGATTATAGGTAACATCTAAGGTACACGCATGTTTATCTCTTCCAGGTTGGATTATTGACCACCCGTATCGCCGATCGTATATTCTTGACATTGAGATGGAACCAGTGGGATCACGCTGTAGTCAATCACACGAGTACGATCCAGACTATCTTGGCCTGGATGATCCTCGACGACCGTTGGTAGCAAATGCAAATGCAGAGGCTGTGCCGAGTAAAGGATTTACTACTTAGCGTATGCGAGCATCGGAGGTCGCAGATCTACAAGAGTTTTCCGGAAAAGACAAGGACGAGGATCGAGCCAGAAGCTGGATTGGCAAGGTCGAGTCTGCATTCCTATGCGATCAGACACGAGATGTGAAAAGGTGTTTGGTTTTCAGTGATTTACTTACGGGACCGGCGCGTAACTGATATTCCCAGCTAAGCCGATCGACGCAAAATACTTGGAAATCACTTTTAGAAAGTTGCATGGTTCAATATTGAGGATATGGTGTATCTGCCGGAAGCACTATTATCACGCATGGAAAAGATCAGATGACACTCTTTTAGAGTATCTGTATCGATTGACCGTTGTGGAATAAGAGCGAAAGTTTCAGTACGAGATGGATCACCCACTGCTTGTCGTGAGTATGTGGAGCATTCCATTAAAATTTGAATTTGTCGCGATCTGGCAAAACAGCTGACGCTATTACAATTGGATGATGCCGACGCCATGGAGGAAACATTACGTGCGCATTAACATATGGAATCCCAACAAGGTAAAGTATCTATGAGATTGAACAAGTCTCGTCAGCGATCTGTGATCCAGCCCAATCCGATGCCATCAAAACCTGTACGCGCAGTGCGATCGATCCATGTGGAATGTAACAGCAGTTATCGGAATCAAAAACTAATGGATCAGATTCTTTTGATCAACAAAACGTTTGATTCGCTGCTTCAGCGGATCGCACGAAGAGTCCCAAGGATCGCGGATCAGAAAAAACGGTCCCAACTAATGTAAGGGTTACAGATCAAGCTGTATTGCTGAAGCCGTGTACCCACTGTGGATTGACCAATCAGGATGCTGGAAGAGATTGACCTGTCAGAAGTGTGGTCGCCAAGGACATTCGTCAGAAAAGTGTTTCTACGTACGTTTGCGCCGCTTGTGGAGAAATGCATGAAGTAGGAGAATGTTCTATGGAGGAGTTGTAAAACATGATTCGCAAGTGGTACGTACCAACCAAGCATGCGGGGTTGCTTCCACCGAAGGCGGAGGAGATGTTAAACTAGGACACTGGCAGGTTTGAATCTGGTACGAGCGTAGCGTTCTAGGATTTGCATATATGCATATGTGGAGAGAGGAAAGATTGATCAAGGTGTTAAGGGTCGGACGGATCGACCCGATCGTGAAAACACATTTGATTTGAATTCGAATTGTTTGAGTTCGTTATCCAGTATGCGAAGGGTTGATGAATACTCTCTATCGCCCACTAAGATGGAGCTGGACCTAGCACCAGGTGAATCACGTGGATATTGGAAACAATACACACAAGGAAAGTGGTTCAAGCAAGCTAAAGCATTGTGCAAGATCAACAACAAGAAAACCACTCTTCTGTTTAATCAGGAGCTTAAATCTCAATCGTCGCCACCGTCTTTGCTCGTAAGGAAGGATTTGTCATAGATGAGAGTCAAAAACAAGAGTGCGAGGGGATCAGCGAGACCTTCTCTCACCTTGTGCACCTGTCGGCTGGCGAGTTACACTCTTTGGAGGATTTGGTTGAGATGCGATGTCGGCCTTGAGAGAGGTCGACTTGGGGTGCCTCGAGTAGGTAAATTTCACTCAGTAGGCGAGTAGGTGGCCACGTGGTCGAGGGTGGTGGGCTTATAACCAGGTTCTTCAGGGGAGATGCTCAACCCTGGCCTTTATTTCCTTGATATCTCAGGGGTGTTAATCGCCTGGCCTTTACTTGCTCCCGAACCACTAGGGTAGGGAGACCGCTTCCGATAGCAGGTCGATTGGAACTTAAACGAACCCACAGTCCAAATATATCCTGGGGCTCTATGGACACTTTGGTCTTACCACACAACTGGCTTCGATGGGGGGCCAAAATGTATCCCTTCCCGGAACAGGTGGGTAGACTTAGTATTTTTGGAAGCACGACGGAGGAGTGCTTCGTAGATCGCAAGTTGAGTAGTATATAATAAAGTCCTATCTCTTAACTGCTTTTCTATATCTTTACTCCCGAGACCTGATTCTTGCTTCTGCTTGGCTAGGGTACGTCGGCTGAAGGGCCAAGGTCTAAGGCCAAAGGGCCAAGGTCTATCAACTAAGGACCGAGGTCCATTGATGAAAGACCAAAGTCAAACTTCAGGGACCGAGGGCCGAGAGTCCATCGACCTGA